GGGAAAGAGAACAGCGATTCTCGTTAGTCAATTACTATCCTCCAGTGTCGAAGCAAATGCACGCCGGCAGTTGGAAACATTTTCTCTTCAGCTATTACATCGACCTCTTGAATTTTCAGCGTGCGGTCTATTCTCATTGGACAGAGCATTGATAACGTCGGTAAGGGTTGAAGAACGGAGAGGAGAAAGAAGAAAAAAAAAAAAAAAAAAAAAAAAAGTATATTCGTGCGTCAAGTAAAACAGTCGTGGCCTCGTTCAATGTGTTTTCAATGCGTGCATCGCGTGAATAATACTCGTATTTTAGATCGCCGGGGCGGTGACAACGTACCTTGTTATACTGATACAATTCCAAAATGCCGACGACACAACGCAAATTCTAAGAAACGCATCGTCGCTTCGAAACCTAACAGGACTGAAGATCGGCTTCTGATCGCACGACACGATTGAAACTCGAAAAAGAAAAAAAAAGGAGAGAGAGAGAGAGAGAGAGAGAGAGAGAGAGAGAGAGAGAGAGAGAAACAAAGACAAGTAACAGAATCACTTACGATAATGACATTTAATGTTCCAATTCTCATAAACAGCGGCAATATACAAATACAGTTTACTCGTCTCGTAATCCAACTACTCATGATCAACGAGTTGTTCCACCGATTGATCGATGGCTAATTAAAAGCGCGCTTCGTACGATGTCTAAAAGTAGACGTCAGTCACAGCCTATCCAAAGTGTTCCTTTGCCTCGTCTTGCTGTCTCTCGTAACTATAAGATGTCCAAAAACGGGGAAATTCGAATAGTCTCGTCCGAAGAAGCCGGTTGCTTGTCTCGTTGAATCGAATTACGCACTACTAAGGTATATACAACCTCTCGTATACTGACTCATTTTCTCTGTGACTCTATACACTTCTTCGTACAAATTATTACTCTAACAATAAATATTGGATCGCCTGAAAAGAATCTAGTGCGACGATCGCGCGGTATTGTACAACGTTTGTGTACCTTATCAATATACATGTAGACACGATAAAACGCGACGTATGCGTTTGCATACAACGGAACGGAACTGAACGGAACTGAACGGAACTGAACGGAACTGAACGGAACTGAACGGAACGAAACGAAACGAAACGGAACCGTACCAAATACGGAAGGTCCGTGGTGTATGCCGTCTCGTCGTCGAAAGCCAAATCGAAACCCGAAAGATCTTCGCCGAAAGTTCTTCGTGGTGATTTCTCAATTTACCGTGGCTGCTGTGACCGGTGGTGATTGTGGAGTCTTTTGATGCGCAATCTGCAACAAGTTGTCGCAACAGCTGTCTGTTGACACGTTTAAACCAATCGGTCTTTGACAAGTAATTAAGCCGTCGGAATTGGTCGAGAGATCCGCATCGTTTTCTCCTTTGTTCGGGTGACGAGCGTTGCTGTTGCCGTTGCTGTTGCTGTTGCTGTTGCTGTTACACTGACAGGGGCTCGTGTGCCGATGAATTTGTGAGAAACAGTCGCTGCAAACTCTCACAGGATTGTAGAGTTGCTCGCTAGGCAACGGTGTCGAGTTTTCCGAACAATCCGCGCAGAAGATCTTGCCGCAGCATCTACGATAGAGGCGGTGGGGTGTGTCATAGTAATTGTCACGTGTTCATCGTCGTTTCTGTCCAAGTAGGACACCAGCGAGCAACACTGCACGTTACACAACACAGAAGAGACAGACGAGAGACTATCGGCATCTATCTTTCAAGCGGAGATATAAAATAATATTGGCCTACCTGCAATGGTGTTTGCGTCTCCCGAGCCAAAATTCCGTATCGCAACCCATGCACCGAGTCACCGCGTGATCGGGTACCCACAGCGTAGGAGCCGGCCCCAATTCTTCGACCGCTTCCCAAGATATGTCCGATGGCAACGACTCACCGTGATCACCGGCACTACCCACCGAATCGGGCAACGATCCCTGGAACACACGACCAATACACCTTCCTTTTTCTTTCTGCTTATCGCCGGTTCTTCCCTAATAAGCGAATCATTTAGAGTATTCTCTTTTCACTCCCCTCAACGGCACAACTTGTTGTCAAACACTCACGATATCGTCGATGCGATCGGTATCCGCGTTATGATTGCAAACTTGTTTGATCAAAGCCAGCCTTGTTGTGTGTAATTCCTTTCCCAATGCTTCCTCTTTCAGCTGAAAACGAGAACGAAGGAAACGCAATTACCTTTTCTTGACGCACCATCACCGGTCGTCGTATCGTATCCCAAACTTGCGTACCGCGTAGTGTAGTATCTTATTCGCTTAAGAATCTGAACGAAATACCTTATGTTCCACTATAATCTGTTGCACGCGCATCTGAACCTCGCAATGTATTATGGGAAGACCGTCAACGTCGTCCAATCGGTCAGGATTATCCGGAATCGGGTCTTGATGTACCGGCGAAGCCGGACAAACGCTGCTAGGCGTTCTTGATATTAATGGTGCGCTAGTATCGCTAAGATCGCTGCCCTCGTGATTGTGATTGTGATTGTGATTGTAGGTGGTGCGACTGCAAGAGCAAACGGTACGACCGACCGAATTTGTCTCGATCCACGATGAAACGATGTCTTGCGGTGAATTTTTCTGCGGCCTGCTGCTCGACAAAAACTTTTGTTGTTCGAATCGAATTCGAAACCGTACTTCAATGCGGACTCGTATTTCAATTCTAACTCGAACTTGAATTCTAGTTCTCGGATTTATCGTATCTATGCATGTGTGTGTATGTCAGTGTCCTAGGAGAGATGCTTAAATTGGGACACAACCAACCCTGCTGTCTCGCAAATCACGGCAATATTTTCGATAGTTTTCATTCAAGATACTTACGTTTGTTGTTTATCGGTGGTGGTAGCATCGGGTAAAGAATCGTTGCTAGGTATTAACGTGTCCGTCGAACTGTCTACTGAAGGATTCGCTGGCGAATCGTTTGACGTTTGAACGGTCGTCGTGACGTTCGGTCGCTTCGACTTCTTCTCATCCTCGTCGTTCTCCGAGCTGGTTTTTTCCATGCATTCCGAAATCTTACAGTCTTCCGCGTGTATCGCAGCTCTATCTATCGTTTCGGCTTCCAGTGTCAAAGAATCAAGTTTTCTGCAACCGCATTGTCATCCACGTTATATCATCATGTATGCATGTATGTATGTATGTACGTATGTATACGTTGCGTTCACATTATTTAGAAACATCAAGGAAAACATCTTGTCCCTTATCTGTCTTGCGTGCGCGTCGTTATTAATATATGTATTACGCGAAACATCTATTAACATGATACACAATAAAGAAACATAACAACAATGATTACTTTTCCATCGAAATACTTGGGTCGCTGAGTCTACGGTGAAGATAGGCCGTGTGATCGGGTGCATGCATAAGATCTCCGTACGACCGAGTTTTAGTCATTTGTCCCTGAAGTTCTTCGTTCTCCCCACGCTCGATGTCTATCATAGTTACCCTCTGCTTATCGTCCCTCGTGCCGACAGACGATTCCATAGAATCTAAATACACCTCGGACCACAAAACAAGGTCTCGTACGTTACAGCTTGGCCATAATACCTGGTACATCAAGAAATCGTCGGTGCACTCAACATTCGAAAATTACGATTCGATATAATGACAAAATTTTACATACACAATTTACGGCATTTTACTAGACGGAAAACATCTTACTTTATTCTTCAAAGGTGAATACAAATGGTTTACGAACGAACTGGAATTCAGGAAGCGCCAAACTGAAAAAGTACGCTCCCGTATTCTTAGTTGTAACCTCTCTTGTCTCGTGTTGCAAAGAAATGTGCCGAAAAGTTGTGAATACGTATGCTGCGCCAACTTCACCTGAAATTCATTCAGCCGATATCGGTATGGGTGAACGATTCTACGTGTTTACGTACACGCATAAATCTCACGTCTAAGCAAACCAAATTCTACCATGTAGATTACCAATTAACACTCGATATACTCACGAGATACGCTGGCGACATCTGAAAACTACATTTGAATTGTCGACTTAACTGGTGCACACAGTCCAGCCACTGCAAAAATACTGGGCATCGTTCATTCGGATCTTCGCAACCAACTGTTTGTCCACATCGATCCGCGAATTTATGTCCAAAGTCTAACCATTCTCTCTCGCATAAAATTTGGAATCCCTAACAATGACAAAAGGAAACATAACAAAACGACTATCCGATGATAAATGTACAGAGAAAGAGGGAGTACCTTCATCGTACCTCCATAGTTCGATAATAAGGATCGAGCAGGATCTGCGCTAAAGCGACTATCTGAGGTGTCCTATCCCATCCGTCGCTGCAATGCACTAATACCGGTCGGGCATCTCTTTCGATCGCAGATGCTACAGTCACTGCTGCGCGTAATAATCCAGACATGTGCTGTAACCACCGTGTCCCTTCTAAAAGACTGAGCCAGCTACGCAACCAAAGAAAATCGTTCTTCAAATACGGTACGAAGAAACGCACCAGCAACGAAACTACACACAACGGTGAAAAAATACAATGGTATACAGTAAACAACATTTACTTGGGTTGATCCGTGTCCGATGCGCAAAGCTGCCTCACCGCGTGAAAGCTCTTTCGTATAGAATGGATGTTTGGTAAATTCATAAACTGTATGTCGCAACTGGGATAATATTCTGGACATTCGCAGCCACCGCCACGTGCTCTATTAGCCACGGCGGTTGTGTACGATCTGGCGTCCACGATTAAAACTTTCTGTTCAGAAAGAAATTACATTTCTTCAGCTTGTTCGGAAACATTCGCGTGGATCCCGTCGCAACAATATTAAACAACTATTCGTAACCTACTTTGGTATTGATCGCTGTGATGGAGGTATTGTTAACGACATCAATGGAAGAATCCACCATCGTCGATTCACCTTTATCGTAGGAACACGCATCCGAAAGAGCTTTCAACAGATTCTCGTCGTGTGGATTTCGCCAACCAAGCCAACCGACTTCAGGTTGACTACTTCGCGCTATTACCGCACCATTCGTCACATGCCTCTACGAAATTTCGCCACTTCCTCCAGAATAATGTCGGAAATGCGAGAAGGAACTAAAAGCAGTGGCGGATACGATGGACACATTCGATAATCTTTATTGATCTGACTAATGCGCCATGTTCCATGTACATTAAATTTCAGTCGTTCCACCTAGAAATATCCAGCCGAACAGATAATCATCATGCATGTACAAAATTACGATATATTTTATCTGTCTGCTCACCTCTGAATTAAAAGTAGCAACATACGATGAAGTGTCTTTTCCAAGCGTAGAAAAATCTTTACCCTCCTCGACAGACCAGGCATAATATGCAAAGGCAAATATATCCTCTATGCTCTTTCTTGGGTAAGTAACTTTGTGTAGGCGCTTATACCATTCCAAACAATGTTCATTCGTGGAAAAAGCACAGCTGAAATATTATAACACGCGGATAATTTTGCATTCGCAAGTTCACCATGGATAGAAATATATTTTACTTAACACATTCGAGACCGACGAAACATTTACAAATGGTTTTGTGGAGTTAGTCTTGTAATAATAAGTCGGTCTCGAATCTGTTGCAAAGATATATCGGCGTACCTAAGGGAACGCGCATCTTTGCATCCAATGTGTAAAAAGAAAATCTCTCTGACTTCCAGTTGCTCTATTAAACCCAATGGGATGTTGTAACAAGTTTGACTTAATTGTAGATAAAGTCTATAGTTGGAAAGAGCTAACACCCCGTCTGTCGTACGTCCAAGCACTACAATCGACTCTCCACTTAAAGGATTAAATGGAACTGTCAGAGTTTGATCTTCACACTCAAAGTGTGTATGCTTTGGAAATAATTCCGAAGCATGCAAATGACATATAGATTGCAGACTCGTCGGCTCTTCAGAACTCTCCATCTCTGCTCTGTGACATAAGATTTATAAACTTCATTCTTCTTGGAAACTAAGCACTATTGAAGAGTTATAACAATATTGTTACTTTCCAACATATCCATCTATACTATGCTACATACTAGACGGGTTCAAATATTTCTGATCTCTTCTTGCCTATATCAAACATGTTTAATCCAACTTGTAGTCTTTGCTGAGATATAGCGTGGTTGTAAATTAATACATCGAGCGGCGACATCGATTGCACTCAAGCCCGTGTCCTATTTCATTTACAATAAATCAACACCAACAACACCAACAACAACAACAACAACAACAACAATAACAACAACAACAACAACAATACAAATGATCCATAAATAGTTCCTCAATTAAGTATATGTGGACATATTGCCACGACACAATTTAAAATTCATGACTATACAAAAGCAGCAGAGACATGTCATCGGTACGGTGTCGGACAAACCGCAGTAAATATCACGTTAATTCGTTACCGCTTATCGATTCACATCGTATCGTCGTGAAAGTAGTGCCATGTATAAGAACACCTTGAAGAAAAATTCATTCTTTAAATACGGACAATAAAGTTCCGCACACGACCTTTCGAACAATAATCGTACACGTATCGAAAACAGAAACACATCTCTTACAACCTCGAAGTTTACAATTTCAGGATTCTGGTTGTTTTTTTAGAAAGTAATTTTATAGCAGGCAAGAAGCGACCGGAATTGATAAATACAAATAGAAGTTTCTCTGGCGTGTAGGCTTGCTTAAATTTACGATTATACATCTTGCGATCAAGCAACGGTTATTTCGCGAGTGAATCACTTACAAACAAGTTGGAAAGCAAATGAAAATATATATAACTAACTGACTGGGAGAAACGAACAATACAATCGAAGATTTTAGTAAGATTTTTCTGCTAAAGGGAACAGCAGACAACAGATGACACAACTTCGTAGCTGCGACAACGTCTTACCTTGGACAGGGAAATTTCTCCGCGATGGACGTTATCCGATGACCGTTTCGATACCTCATACAAAATCCATAAACAATCGTTTACAGGTGAAACAGAATAAGAACATTACCCGACGCAGAGATCATTTTCCTATAAAAAGACGCGATGTTGTTGATTTCAATCGTGTGAACCACGTAAAACTTCCACTCTCTTTATTACGTACGCAAAGAGCTTACGGGATAAACGACTCCGCAACTAATCTCACGCGAACTCGATCCAAACACAATTATTTTTCGTTACAGTGGTTTGGGAAAATGGCTTGCATCGCGGCATACAATCTTCATTAATCGTATCAATTATTGCTGTCTATTTCTTCCCGTCAAACGATAATATCACCAGATATTCAACTTCCAATTAATTTTTATAAAAGATACTCTTTCTTGCTCTTTCTGCCCGATGCGAAAGTTACACTGACAGATTAGACTATAACATAAATCAATCCGCATTCTCATTACTCGATCTTTTTCCTCATAACGATTTTCAACAAACGAATTTTATACAAAAAACATTCAGGCCGTTTCGTCGTTGGTCGCAACAAAATATCGATGTGATGTGTTCACTCTTAACGTTCGCTCCCCAATTCTCCAATATTTGTGATTGGCTCACAAATGACCATAGACATATAAAATAGACTGCGCGATCTTCTGATAGGGCTGAAGTCGACTCCGAAGGACAGAAGTAAAGTTGGAGTACTCCTCTCTTGCTTGTATGTACTGTGTAGAAGCTTGATAAGAGGGGTCATAGAACCCCGGAGCTTGTAAAAGAGACCCCGTTGGTTCCGACAGTGGGGCCATAGAACCCCCTGTGTCTGTACAAGAGACCCCGTCTATGCGAAAGTGGGGTCATAGAGCCCCCAGAGCTTGCACAAGTAACCCGTGGCTGTGAAAAGTGGGGTCATAGAACCCCGTCTGTATAAGAAAATGTGGTCATGTAACCCCGGAGCATGCGTAAGAATGTGTGTGAGATGTACTCCGACGAGCAAACTCGGCTTCCGCTAGGGGAAAAAGTGAGGTAGGCGAAGGGCCTCCTACCGTTTACTTTTGGCAATTACTGAAATTTATCCCAAATTAACATTCGGTTTAACATTTATTTCAGTACCTGAAATAAATTTTGCTAAATGGTAGGAAACTCTTTTCTTACGCCACTTTTTCCCCTAACGGAAACCGAGGTTGCTCGTGGGTGTACATATTTATTTATTTATCATGTATATCTTACATTACGTATATCATATATAGTTTATACATACGTTTATGTTTATATCTCTTATATTAACCCTTTGCACTCGGAATTTCTAATTTTCCGTACATTTTGTCGCTTCAAAGGCGACAGTCGAATTCAAAGGGTTAAATATTTAAATAAATGTATAAAGTATAGTATTGTATTTTATTCTCTCTCAACGCAGAAATAACTTTCGTGTTGGGTAACAAGGTTAGGAAAATATTCGATACAAGTAGGTATCGATAGTTTTGTTTCGATACCGGTAAGTATCGATTCAACTCTATACAGGTATGTACTGCCTCTACTATAGCCGTAGGAAAATCACCCAACAACAGCCCCACTCATCCCTACCATAATACCGCGTAGGCTATTGTACTTATATGCCTTTGGAATCAGCCGTCCGTCAGCAGATAACACAACCGTGAGACCTTCACGGATCAATTTTAAAAATACCCTGGGTTTCGTCAAAAAGAAGTCCTTGCGACTCCATCTGTTGGTGATTAACCGATACTAATTGGTGGAAAGTTTACGCGATTCAACGTAGATGGTCCCACAAGTTACTTTAACCTCTCGTTCACCTATGTACGTGCAAACACAACAGATTGTACAGAATTTTTGTCAAGACAATTTTATTAAGGTCGTGTCGATAATTTCTACTGCATTTAATATCAATGAGAAACCCAAAGTGTGCTATAATGACTGTTGCTAATGAACGTTGATTTTTCTTCGTAAATTAACATACTGTTTACGCAAAAATGCGCGATCGTTGCACAGAACTACGAACACAATGACCACCAATATGCAAGCGCTTGTTTTCTAAATAAGTAGTCAATCAAAGATTTGTCCCTGCTCATTACGGATTAACAAAAACGGATCACATATATGTACATATTATATTCGCATACATGTCTTGAAAAGAAATTGTACTTTAGTCGCATGAGTGTCGATAGGACAATTCGGAGCCTAAGGAAAAATTTATGAAACTAGTTTGCGGTGGGAGAAAAATGAGAAACACAATCAACGTGTGCCAATGAATCACATTCTTACATGATAAACCCTGTACTTTCAGGAAAGTACGCAATGGCGTATCATGATTATTCTTATTATCATGTACCGTTAGTCAATGAGAATATAAAAAATTAAATTTTACGAAATGCCACCTGGCCATACAAAATGTAAATAAACTATCTGACACATGGTTATACTGCCTTATCATGCTTTCCAAAAATTCGGATTTTGCTGTAGTCTTCTCTCAAAAGTTTCATACCATCCTTGAATAGTGGAGAGTGGTACAAAGTTCTCTGTTGGATTTGGCGTCATCTGTGCTTGAGTTACAGAAAAACTCGATACATAATTCAAGAAGCTAGTGAGCATCTTTTGTACAAATTCCAAGAATGAATTTGATGTAGCTTCAGTTACTGTAGCAGCTTGTAACTCTATTGCTCCAATAGGTTCTATTGAAACCCCAATTTGTGCTACATGTGAGATTTTCCCAACTCCAAATATTCCTACATTGCTGTTTTCAAATTCATGGTTCCTTTTCAAGGTAGATATTTTGAATATAGCTGATGGTTTGGCATTAGAAATATATCCAAGAAATTGCCAATTTGGTGGAGCATTTGGATCTGGCCAACTAAAATACACTAAAACAATTATATTTTAATTAATTTTATATAAACAGATTTATATTAGTACAATCGTTAAGATGACCAGACATCCTGGATTAGGTGTAACTGTCGCGCATTGAACAATGTCCCAGAAAGTATCCCAGATTCGATATGTGGTTTTTTTAACATTTTTGCTGTGGCATAAAGGTAATGTTTCCTCTACTTCATACTAGATAGCACTATTAACTGGCAACAAATATTTCTACAGTGCATGTGATAAACTAAGAAAATGGTGCATTCAAATATGTGACTTTTTTTTTTGGATATATACCGCATTGCAACCTAAAATATGTATCCGGTCACCCTAACAACCATATAATTTTCTACATACCTGCACCACCTGTTCCATCAGGAAATGGTACGCTACCTGTAAGGAATACCACAATATGGTTTATGTTATCAGCGTCGGGTACTGTTATCAAAAACTGATTTTCTCCTATTTGTTGAAAGTCCGTTTGTACCTAAGAGAAATTTAATGAATAGGTTGTGTGTGTCACACGTGTGAACGAGAAGGGTTAACACGTTAGAATGCAATAGCTTAACACGTTAGAATGTATATAGAATAGTGCCATAAAGGATCAATAACAACAATGTAAAACGAACGATGCAACTAAAGAATAACTAAATGAGTCAGTCTATGATGTAATAAAACGTATTTCGTACATATAAAATACTATAATCGTATGAAAATGACAGTTTTGTTAACTGGACAAATACAAGAGAATGGCGGTATCTAAATACGTATGGAAAAATAGACTAATACTTACCAGTCGACCAGACACAATTATGCCGATCATCTTCATGTACAATCTAGAGCATTCTATCGTCTTCTTCTTATCGCGTGAAGCCAAAAAGTGCACGATACATATGTAACGATACAACACCGATCAAACATTTACCACATTTACCAACATTTACTACACCTTGAGACCTTGAGAGTGATATTCATCACGATTCGTGCGACTTTATGCTCAGAAACTCGATATGTATGTATGTACCCTCACGAGTCACGAGCAAACTCGGCTTTCATTAGGGGAAAAAGTGGTGTAGGGCAGTCTAGGGGTAATGGACTTGCATCACTTGGTAAATTTATTTCAAATTAATACGCATATTGAAATAAAAATTAAATCGAATATTAATTTGTAATAAATTTCAGTAATTTCCCATACCAAGTGGTAGGAGGCCTTTCTATTATGTGCACGATTATTCTTTGCTAAGAATATGTAATACAAATAAAATATATAAAAGTTTCATATCGAAAGATAAAGGAATTTGGAACGAAAAAATAAAGAAATGAAGGAACGGTGTCTAATGCCTCCGACCCAATGTCGCCTTACTACTCTACTACTACTACTACTACTACTACTAATAATAATAATAATAATAATAATAATAATAATAATACTCTTCTCGCTTGTTATACATCCTCTTATTCCTATTAATCGTTAACAAATTACATATTAATTAATATGTACAAATTAAATTATACTGAAAAAAATTTATGAGAACGAGTGCCGAACGGTTACCGTGAGGCCATCTTGTGAGAAGAAACTGATACTAATTGGCTATTAGTTTCAGGATCCTATTTGTAGGTGGCGCTATAGGTATGTTTGAACTTGGTATGGTAGCGTTACCTGGTGACGAACCTATGATACTAGTTGGTTAATAACTTAGACGCTTTGCCGTAGGTGGCACCTTGAATCTCTTTGCTTAGTTTTCATATATAATATAGTTTTCGTATATATACTATATACAATAATAATCAGATATTAATTACAAACGCCACGATTGAAAATTGTTAACGCGTAATGTTGAATTGAGGAAATTCAACAAATGATTTGTCATCGTTAGAAAAAATACGGAATTGTAATTTTGAGAAACTTTCTACATTATATCTGTACATTGTTCGGTTTTACTATTGGGAAAGACCATCAAGGAAATGATATTTTGAGAAACTAACATTTTTTAAAGATATCGAATGTCACACGAAATAGGATGTGGCTATACATATCTATGTATAAAAAATAGAAATTAATGATGCTTTAATCAGTAGTTTACTTTTAGTTTCTCGTGCTTACCGTGTATTTGAACATCAACAAAATTGCTTTTCCTTGTAACTATGGTTATAGCACCATCGAAATCATCGCGTCATTGTTATTTTACGTGTTGATCTGATAAAAAAAATTCGCACAGATAAAATAAGGCCAACCAAGTACGAAGATTAAAATAATATATATAGTTTTGCTATACTTTGGACGTGTATGTAACGTGTATCCGTGTTACAGCGTAAGACTCGATTGCATATACGTAAATATATATATATAATATATATATATATATATATATATATATATATATATGGTGGGTGATAGGGATGACGATTGCCACGAGTGAGAGCGAGCAAACCTCCACGAACTTGAATGTGTGTGACATCACGCTTCATTGTTGGAGGTTTACGTCATTCTCGAGTCTGGCTTGAGTCGGTGCGCGCGATCTAAAGTAGCTACAGACGCATGCGGATGAGTGGCGGGAAGTGATAGAGACGAGAGAGGTGAAAAACACGCGAATCAGCATTGCGACTGCGCAAAACGTGTCGGGCATATCGTTTCTCATCAAAACGAAATACTATTGTTATACTGACGTCACTTCGATCACTAATAATAAATTCGTCGAACAAGACTCGACGCTTTCTGAGGAATCAATAAACAATTAGCATTAAGACAGAAAAGGAGAAACAACAACGCGTCCGTCAACAGAGGAAAGGAGAGTGCTGATCAACTGCAAGGTACAAGAGGGAGGGAGGAGAGAGTTAGTGTTTCTGTGAGAAGGGTGTGGGGGGGGGGGGGGGAGAGAGAGAGAGAGAGAGAGAATGCTGGAGCTAGACAAGGAAAGTCATACAAAGCGCGACGTTTAACGGTGGTAGCGCTGATTTGTGGTTTTATCGGTGGTTACCGATTTTGAGGGAACAATTCAATCCGGGTTGAGTACGTTACGCACAACGCTTTCGAACCAGAGGGTATTTTCCGCGCGGTCAAATCGCGCGCGGTGTCACCGATGTCGAGGAGAGTTCTCACGAATATGTAATTTATTTGCGATCCGTACGAAGCCGTGGCTCTTCGACGTCGCGTTCTTACATTTTAAATATAACGGTGTATAAATAAGTATGAGCAATAGCGGGAGTGCACCTACGGAGCACTCAGCGTTCACTTTTCCAAGGAACTTGCGTTTCGTTGACGCGATTTTTATTCACGCTTAAAACTCATGCGAATGCACGTCCAACACAATCACAATCGATGGTTTTCTCTTCAAAGTTTACCACATATGTTTTTCATGCGTGGGCATGCAGCACCGAACTATCGTCAAGGTTAGTGTGTCTGACAGGCTTTGCATCGCTCTGCGATCTTATATTCGTTTTCAGTGGGTAGTACCCAGTAATTGCAATAGGTAATTGAATAGACTATTCTACCGTATGTTTATCTGTCAGTACTGACCACGACGACGACAACTAATACAGTGCGGATTATACTATTCACGAATAGAATTTTCGAGTGTATTACGATTCGTTCAATTTTTCAACAATGCTTCTTTTTTCTGTCCGTTTTATTCTTCGGAATTAATTCTTTGCTGCTTCTGCTAGTTCTGCTGTTTAAAATTGAACGATTTTATGTTTTTTTCAACCAGGTAAATTCAAAATTGTCCTCTATCGGACAATTAAGGATAGATGTACCGTATGAACATAGGCTCCTGCTATTGGTTGCATCCTCCTACACGATGAAGCTTTATTGTATATATGTAAAATCTTCTATTGGTAAGACAATATTTATTCTATACTTTTAAGTCGGGACAACATTTTTATGGTGAAGATGTTTTTTCAGGGGGAGAGCGTGCACGTAATGCTATTACATGTAAACCAGATGCAAACACGGGAGGAATGCAGATTTACTGAGGATTGTATCTTTGTTGGTTTTGATATTTATATGATGCTCCAAGAATTTTACATGTTCATCATTGAACTGGCACATTTGTGCAGCAAAGGGTAAGATGTACATTTTTCTATTGAAATTGTGAGATTTAATGTACAATTAATAGGTAGAGCTTTCTTAGAAATACATGGCAACAGAGAGTACGTGTGTTGTAGGTGCAAAGCAGCAAATGCCTGATTGTAATTGAAACTCAGGAGAAAGACCTTTTATCGATGATGCAGCGTAGCGTGTTTTTCCTTGTTGCAAAAGGATTTGATATTTGGAAGTACGTTTGGTGATTCACTATCGAATGCATTAAATGAACTTACAATAGAATGATTTCGTTACCACACTCCAACAATTGACAAGTATAAATTCCATCGACTCGGTAATGTCACGCATGAAAAGAATTGAGAAGTAAAGCGAGTGTATCGAATCCTCTTGCAACTCAGCTAAAAATTGATTGGTACATAGTTAGAGTGTGATAATACCGCATAGATAAGCGCACAAAAATCTTGTCCAATTTCGTTTACCTCGTGTAAATGTTGTTTTAGAAGAACCGTTTCTATGAGTGCCTCTCGCCCGTTACACTGTGATGGGAAAGATAATAACAGCAAAAAAGGTTCAAGTGAGTTTAATGTTGTTGTGTAGCATGCACTCGGGCATAGGCATTTCTTTTTGTTTACGATTTTGACTTGTAGAGAGAATGGCGTATGAGGTGTTTCTGGGTGGATCCTGTAATCCAACCACGTGGAGATCAGAAATAGCGATACCGACTCTACAGAGCCTCGGGATTACTTATTACAATCCCGTATGTGTATCCTTGAAATTCCATTGACCTGTACCGCTTTTTATAATCTATCACAGAGTAAAAGTGAATGTGACTGTTTGTGTTTTACGTTTCAGCAAGTGTCACAATGGGGTCCGGAACTGATAGCTCAAGAGTACGAAGCGAAACAGACGGCGAAAGTATTACTATTCGTGATCGATAATCAGACGCGGAACAGTGCAGGCATCATTGAAGCAGCTCAGTTGGCAGCTACACGTCGCGAGTCTTTAATCCTTGTGATTTATCCATATCGTCAGGGTCAAGCGATACTCGGCGAGACTGTATCCGTTCAGTAAGTATTACGCTGCTTTGCGCTGTCGTCATGCTTACGGGTTACGTACGCAGACGATGCATGCCTGACAAACGACAAACACCGCACGCCTTGTTTAGGGAGTTTTACGACTTGATGAACGGTCTGTTGGTACTTCAGTACCTTATGGAGAGGCAGAGGATACCGATATTCGAGAGTGTGTCGGTTGCCCTTAATTGTACGTCCAAGGTAATTTGAACCGTTGAAGAATAAAATAGCGAAGAACCGCATTCTTAATTCTTCTCGCCTAATCGGATATCGATGTTGCCTGAAATATGATTGTACCGTAGGTTCTACGCGAAGAGATTAAAGTACAAGATCTGCATTCCGAAGATGGCATTAGATCAGTCAGAATTTCGCTCGGTCAACATGGAATGGACGCGGTGTAAGCCTTTCTTATTATCAGTATATGCAGCAGCAAACACGTATAATTTCTGTATAGGAAGAGAATCGTCGGCTGTGTATTGTCATTAATTGCTCTGATTTACTCTTTCGCAGTACGCTCAGAGACATTTTTAAATCTATGGACATTAATGACAGCGGTAGCGTTAATCTGGCTGAAGTAAGTTTCTATTTTGTGTATTGAGATTTTGCGGAAAAGCGGGATTGTTGTTGCGATAGAGAAATGATGTTTTCCTCGTTTCCTTCGATCCGTAGGCTTGGCTGGCGTTGCAGTCGAACGTGAAATGCAACGTGTCTGTTTCGGATCTGCTGAATGTGCTAAATAAATCGGGTAATAAACTCTTGATTGATTTTTCTAATAACACAGACTAATTCTCGCGCGATTCAAGCGAGTGAGCAAGTGAGCAAATTTCACCCGTGTCGTGTTTTCCATTCTTCGTATTTGCACATGTTTTTAGAAATCTATAGGACATCGATAGACGATGGATTTCCAGTGAAGAAAGATCCAAAGGAATTACGGATAAATTTTGAACAGTTCTGTGCCCTAGCTACCGAATCAGCATGGAGGACGAAGAGCAACGGCGTTTCTTGTGAAAGTGAGATACCTTCAGTTTGGAGTATATTATGTAGGAAGGCTTCAAAATTTCTTCGCAGAGCTATCGTGCAACCTTTTAACCGTTTCCTAGGTATTTTCTATTCTCAAAAATTTCCTGTCGTCTGTAGTGCGCGGTCGTATTATTTATTAGCGTATATAATATGAAAGCAAAAGAGAGAAAAAGAGAGAGAGAGGGAGAGGGAGAGATAAATGTTATACGGAAACGTTGGAAGCATCCTTTATACAGCAGTTATGATTATTCGTTTGACCGTTGAATTTTCTAGATTGGACCAGTTCGATCGTGGCAGAATCTGAAAAGAGAGACTTGTATGTTGGAGTAATCGACAAAGACAAGTTCTGGTTAGAAACGTCCGCAACACCGTCCATCGAGTGAGCATTCGAGATGTAACGTTCTTCCGTTTCTCAACGTGGTACGACAGTGTCGTTGAGTCTACGTGTAAGTTTTTTTCTTCTTTTAGGTCTATGGGAATGTCTTTATACCGACCAAGCCTGAACGAGTACAATATAAAGGTTTTGCCGCAAGAATTGCAGAAAATGAAAAATTCGCGATTAATATTATTGATTGTGCCACAGCACTCTCGTGGTATCGCTATAATGGCTTTGGCAGCTCATCTGATTGGACTGCGTGCAAAATTAGTCTTGTGCGTTCAAACGCTTCCCGACGGTTGTGTAGTTTCCGGTGAAAAGGTAATTGTCCCTTTAACGCATATATTATGTATTATGTTACGTATTTCCTTTTTCTTTTTTTTCTCTTATGCTTGCTTGTTGCAAGCCTCGTCGGTTTTGCTACATAGAAAGTTAATTTTTTATTCAGTTAACCGAACAAGCCACAAAAGACTACAACCGGGGAAGAATGTACCTGTCAGACTACGCGAGGCGCGAAGGTGTACCTGTTTTTCAGAATATCGTAGAAGCTCTGCAACACGCGATACAGCTAGTTCAAAGTCTTCGTTGACTTTTGTCTTCATCTTCTTTTTCTTCTTTCCTTCCTCTTCCGCCATTTCTTCTTTTTCTTCTTCTTTTACATCTTTTACTTCTTTTACTTCTGTTCCTTTCTCGTACGTGTAAGCTTTGCGATTCATCGATTAATTTATTTTTACACTTAGTAACGTTCGACTACCAATCGAGATTGGGTAGACAAGTGCGTAGACTTTGTCACTCAGAGACTAAGCACGACACACGAGCGTGCGCGCGCGCGCGCGCGCGCGTGTATTAATACGCTGCATTAAAGGTTAGACAAAGATTACGATTATTTATTCGCATCATGAAAGTTGATGTTCGGCTGTTAAAGCTATTAGCTTTCGTCGAGTCACGTTCAATATTTACAAGAAATCGTAGTACAATGTCTCGTGGTATTTGAACACATTTTTTATAGTGATTGAACTTGGTAATTTTGTAACCTTTTGGTAACTACTACTGGTTGAGGATTGATACACATATATTGTATGTATATAGATTATTGTTTCTAACGCTCTAATGATAAATGATTTGAAATTTTATAGAAAGAATGTAATTGGGTATGCGTGCAAGACACCACTTTGTCGCGTTGATGAATATGTGTCGGTGTATGCGTGCCTGCCTGCTCGTATGAATGCGTACAAACAGAGATAAATACCTACACGCGTACCTGTACGAACAAACATCCGATTTAGCGCAGACTAAAGATGTTGTACGCTGTGACGCGTAATACAAGATACAAGGTAATATTATGAAAGTAATACACGTACACTAGGGAAATTAAGAGAAAACAAATTTTTTAATTCTGAACGCAGTGTGTAAATGATATCGATATACAATTGAGAAAAGTCATGTCAACAACACTCGTCGTTGGAACACCGACTGGCTCAATATATTTTTTTTTCTTTTCTCTTGTTCTTTTTTCGTTTCCCTGTTCTTTTGTTGCTCTTTTTGTTTTTTTTTTTTTTTTTTTTTTTTTTTTCTTTTCTTAAGAATTTCACAATCACTTTGTACAATAAAATTCACTTTTTCGTTTTTATCTGCCTCGTTTTCTTTTCGAGAGATTCCGAGCTCTCACCGATTGACTTTATCGTCTCTACTTTACTATCGACAAGGGGACAAGAAAACAATATACAATATAAAATAATAATGTTGCGTGACGTTTCACTTTAAATCGCGTTTCGCGGCAGAAGAAACGACCGGTCTACGCTCGAACAAACCCATTCAGATTTTATTCGTTTGCTCTTCTAGTGAAATAATATCTGTGCATATTTTTTAAAGAAAGCAGCACTGGTACCATAACCGGGAAAAAAAGTGGAATGTATACGGCATATCTGAAAGCAGCAGGGAAGAAGTGGAAAAGATGAGAACGTAAAAAGCTACGATCTATGGATTCAAGATTAAATTGGGCGAGACTTACTTTTGGTCCTCCGGAAAGTATAGCAATGCTAAAAGTGTTGGATCGGAGAATGCTGCTTCCGCGGCAACGAATGCTTCTTTGCTCGAGAAAAAACCTTGACTGAGATCGCCGCGACTTAGGCATTCGGCCGAATGCTCGACTAAACGTAAAGCTGTTTTTATCCTATTCCCTACAACATCCGTGATGACGATATTTTCAATTTCTTTGAGAAGCTGAGCAAGCGACTGTAGAGTTAATTTAGCTGAAGTCAACTGCTCGATCGTGCGGACGCGCATCAATGCATCGACTTCCCAATCGCGTAATTTCAATTCTACCGAAGGGACAGTGGTAACGCCATGGAACACTTTCTGAAAATAAATAACAACACCGAATTTTCCGATCAGCTTTTGTACGGATAGAAAATCAAAGAATGAGTTTTAAACGATTCCTCTGTTAATTACCGGTTCTGGAATACCCAAGAGAAGCTTCAATTGGGCAAGCAATGTGCCGACAATTGTGGCCTCCGCTGGAGCGACGGTGACTGTTTCGTTCGGTTTGCTGGCCATGCATGATTCCAAAGGTGGATTAATCAAGACCACGCCACCCCATCTGTAGGGTGTAGGGAAAAATATGATTATCAATACCCAAGGAAATTGGGTGTTGAAAAGTTGCATTGCGTTCGTCATATTTACTGTGAGTTTCGGCCTTTATTACCTTGGCGAAAGAAATGCTTCAACGTTGGCATTGGTTTTCGATCTATGCCCGGTACGGGTATAAATGTGCAACGGAGCGGTGTCACAGGGGACAGCGTATACGACGAAATTAATGGTTGGATGAAGGCTTACTTGCGAAGCTGAAGAATAATCGGAAGAATTTCATTCACGGAGCTGAACTGCCACCGGGAATACATTGTTACACACCTACCTAATTTCTTTTCCAAGGGTGTGATTAGCTGCGGTAGTACATCCTCGGATAATGCAAAGTGTCGGCTCAACGGGCTGCTATCTGGTACCCGTTTTGGATGAACTTCCAGAGGCAAAAAGTATAACCATTGCGATTTCACGGAAAAGTTACTTGAGATTTCAAGTTCGGCGAGGAAAGGTTCAACGTATTCTAGAACGAATATTAAAGGGTAGAAATTGTAAAGTGAAACAAGAGTCTCGGGGATTGTTAGTTTTGAAACGGACACGGAAGAATAATAGGAAAATCCATCAGAAATATTTTACGTACCTTCGGACATTGTGGCTAAATCCCAAGTGACCTTTAGTTTTTCTGGATCAGGATTTACGACTGTGATCAATACATCGTAAGCTGGACTAGCCGGAAATCTTCTTCTGTTCTCCTCGTCTAAGCTGTACAGGGTCGGTTGAGCGAGCACATTCTTCGTTAAGGCCAACGACTTTTCACGCAACATCCATTCGGATAACACTCTGATCAAGGTCGATTCGGCTGGAAATCAGTTCAGGATCGTTAACTACACTGATACCACGTAAACGCAAACGATTAGAAAATAGGAAGAGGGAAAAGAAAAGAGAGAGAGAGAGACACATATCATCTTACCGGTTTCCGTGGAGAAGAAAATCGTTCTTTTCGAACCAACGAGGACCGCATCGTTCAACTTACTCGTTTCCAGAAGTAACAGTTGACCAACGTCAAGATCAAAACTGAACGGTTTGATTTTTTCCAAATCGCGCGGAGTAAATGCGGAAGCTACCAAGCTACTAGATATCACATAATATACAACTTCGACTCGATAAATATCTGAAAAGAAAGTACGCAACGATAATTATTGTCGCAAGACAAAGAAAAGTTGGAGATATTCCGAAGGGATCTGGAAGATCTTACCGGCATTCTCGAAAGCCTTCGATATGGAACGTTCCAACGACTCTGCCCGATCCCTAGACAGAGCTGCGATAACGATCCTGGTTCCAATTTTGACCTCGAGATCGGACAGTCGGTCAATTTCAACATAAGGGAGCGAAACGCGCGGCACAGCTGTGGTGTGCCACCAAACTGGAACTCCGATGGCCAGCAACAGCACAGCGAAGGATATGCTCGCATAGATCCTGTATTTTTCTGAAAATTTCATTCGAGTCATCCTATTAAGAAATGTTGTTCGACGGTGGCCAGTCGTGTGGTCTGTTAAACAACAACAGTGGGGTGATTTATTCGATCTGTTCCCCATGTTACTCTTGAGAAAAAAAGGAAACGTAGGAGGTATGTATGAGAAACGTTTGGTCCACGCGCATGCAGAAAACGTTGTATGTTTACATCCTTCTCGAATCGTGATCCGAATTACGTAATACCAACGAGGACGAACGGTAGCGTGAGCGGGTTTAATTACCCGATTAAATTGATTTAAATGCTGTGCGTACTCCATTGCAGATCGTTGAGACGCGGCATACGCGAGCTCTATCGAATAAGAAATATGTATGTTTATGTATGTATATGGAGCATATCGAACAAAAGAATGCGAACCGTTTTTACGCTGCTGATTCATTGATCTCACAATCTCACCTCGAAACCAAACCGATAAATCTTACCGCGAGTCACCTTCGATTCGTGTAATCGTTTAGAAATTCTTTTCGTACACTTGGTACGGAAATTATACACATGTGTGCCTATACTTACTTACAATATATACATAGGTGTTTATGAAACGGGACGTTGGTCACTCGGTTCTCCAGGTGCGAATGTACCTTGTAAAAGAATCATTTTGCTAGATTCTACGCAAGCAGTCCCGAACCGCATTGGATTAGAAAAGTATTCTGGCTTTTGTAGCGTAGAATTAACACAGCTATCTCGTCTTATGAAACCTGAAATTCCATGTTCTTTGAATCTCTTTTTCTTTCACCTATGAGGTGGAGAAATTTTCCTGGGGCATTTCTATTGCGTAGGGTTGACAAAAAAAAAGAAAACTTTTTTTGTGTTCATGTTCAGGAGTCATAAGTACGTACATAGTACATATACATATGTAAATACATACATATACGCTATTGTTACCATGGTTCGCCGCGACTGGTCTCGAGACAACACGAATGACCACGACGATGGATCGCGGTGCCCGTGAATAAGTCCACTACAAAAGACCATCGTGGTATGAAGGTCAAGAGAGGGGCAGCAACGTTTGTAGTGTGAACCGATGCTCCACCGGGTTCATTTACCAGTCGCTGGAGAACCGACCAAGTAGGCAAAGGACGTACCTCTAAGTAGGGGATAAAGAAAAAAGAAGAAGAAGAAGAAGAAGAAGAAGAAGATGAGTCAAGTATGTGACAGAGAAAAAGAGTGAGCAAACGGGTCAGTAAGAGTGAGAAAGAGAGAGATTGCCCAGTACAGGAGAGGGGTGATACAGCTTAATCAGACGAGGTTCGTGTCTGCAAGCCTTCGAGCAGATCGACGATCAGTGATGCAGCGTGTGTGCAACTACTGAAAGTGGAAGCGCCGCATTGAAAAAAAAAAATATTTTTCGTCCGATCTCTGTGATTCACTATCGACTGAGTGCACACAGAAGAACGCGGAAAGAAACGACTTTTTCTTTCACTCTAACGGTAACGAAATTTCGCGCGACTTCAAATGTATGTGTTTTATGAGTAGAACGTGAAGATACGGAATCGATCGATTTCAAATAGCATCGCGATTCCATCGTTATACGATGCAGTTCGATCAAGAATTTTCTACCTACTTTTCTACCTTCGCGTCACGGTAATATCATCGGTTCTCAACGTTGAAAAAGAACCGAACGATACAACCGATTGATTGAGAATTTTAATAAGAAGGATACGTGCGTGACGAGTATACAGAAGGGTAAGATTTAGTGGGATGCTTTCAAGGCAAAATAAATACCGTTGCATAACTAAAGATTTCAAATTTGATAGAGACTATAACACTATTTCATATTTCATATTTTATTTCTCTCAATACATATATCCCACACAGAAGTGAACAGAGCATAAACTGAAGAACCAACGGACATAAAACACGGCGGCAGCGTTACTCGATCCATCGTGAGAGACCTCTGAGGTCAATCTCGTTCGGTGTCGCTTAGTAAAAAGTTACACTTGGACCGTATACTCTGAACGAATAGCCAAAGGGATTCTGACAGAGGGAGTAGAGTTATGCAACTTTTGTATCGCGTCGATTTGATAGAGAAATAATTAATTATACTACGATCGATTCCATAACGCCTGCGAAGAACACGTTCTGTCGTTGTGTTTCAGTTAGATTTAGAGCGACACAATCAGCCTCACGCGTGTATATACACATATGTGTCCCTATGTAGTCACTAGTCACGTTCAAATCATCGACATTCCATCTGACGTTTTCATGTCACACGTACATACAAGTACCATGTATGGTAAGAATGTTTTTCTGGCCCGTTAGGGAGCAATGGCCACGCAGTCCGACGATCCGTACCCGGAAATCGTCAATTCTACGGATAGAAGGTACGTATCGTATGGTTTGTGCACGACCGAAATTAGATTCAAACGGATATCGAAGTTGAAAACTGGTCGGTGATGCTTGCATTAATTACGTATGCGATTAGAATACGATTCTTAATGTTATTCCTATTTCACTGTTGTAACATCTCTTGCCACTGTCCCCTCTCCTATCCCCTCTTTTTCCTTACTTCGATCCAATGAGATAAATGTCCGAGCGTCGCTCGGCATACCCATACAGCACATCGTGACCCTTGAGTATTAGTTGTTTCAGAAAAACCGTTAATTTCGGCAGTTTGTTGGCACGATTTTTCACGATTTACTGGAGATCATTCGTGCTCGTATTATGGCCGCTCATTTTGTTGCCTATCGTCACCGTCATCCAAACCACCGAGGTTCGTGGATAATGTACGGTTACTTTTGCAACATCGACTCGCGCTCTTCTTTTCCTTCTTCTTCTTCTTCTTCTTCTTCTTCTTCTTCTTCTTTTCCTTGTTTTTCTTCCTTGGCTTATCGCTATTGGAATTGATCATTTTGTCGATGAAAGCGTGCTTTCCTTCATTGCCCAATTGTTTTCGCGTTTACAATATTAAGTATATGTATTCTTGAGTCTCTTTTCTATTCTCGGTCATGCTCTATTCGGCTTGCTCCGATTGAGCTGCAAACCGAAGGAAAACGTTTCGATTCGAAACAGGTGACGGCGATGCGGTGTCTGTATGTCGTCGGTTTGATGGCGATGTTTTGGATGACCGAGGTACTTCCCTTGCCGATCACCGGTTTGATTCCGATCGTTCTTTATCCGTTGATGGGCATAATGAGCACCGGTGACACCTGCGCTTGCTATATGAACGATACTACGATGATGTTTATCGGTAGTATGGTGATAGCGATCGTTATCGAAAACTCTGGCCTTCATATGCGGATGGCGTTGTTGATCATCAAAACGATCGGATGCAGTCATCGTAGGTAAGCTTTAATCTAGAGCCAAGAAGAATGTTTAGTTGGTTTTAATTGTCATTTGTTACCATCGTATGAAATGATACATGACGCATACCCCCAAAGTACATCATACGTAAATATCTATATGTATATGTGCGTATACCTGCGCACAGTCTATACACGCATACACACATATATGTATAACCTGCATACAACTGGCAGATTAACACTGGGCTTGTTCTTCGTGACCATGTTCCTGTCTATGTGGATTTCAAACACTGCAGCTACCGTGATGATGCTACCGATCATCGAGACCGTTCTATTGGAACTCGAGGCGGTAAGTAAAGTAAACGGTGGTATACCGGCGATAATCGAAACGAGCCAAACAAACACTGCTCTGACCAAACTTCTATCCTCGTATTTTTGCAGCAAGGCCTGGGTAATATGTTCGTTCAAGAGAGATATAGAAGCGACGAAGAAGACGGAGCAATCGAAGATTCGTATGTAGCTGTTAATCTGTCAAGTATTATACTTTTAACTCGGTGTGGGGTCAATTTTCGTGTTCGTTCGTTCGGTTATCTGCTGATTAACGACTTTTATCCCGACTACTTTACAGGCTAAAAAAACCAACACGCACGACCATGGTGTATTATCTCGTGGCTGCGTATGCTTCTAGTCTCGGTGGCATCGGTACATTAGTCGGTACTGGAACCAATTTAACGTTGAAAGGATTCTTCGAAAAGTAAGACTCGTTTACCTGTCGTTTACACAAACATTTCCAACAATCGTCGACGAAACGAACGACGAAGCGGGCTGATGAACGCAGAACCAATGAAATCTTTTCAATCTTCCATCTTGGTTTTCAGACGATTTCCAAACAGTTCGGGCATTAGCCTGACTTCGTGGATGCTTTACTCGGTCCCGCCTATGCTTCTAATGGGATTTCTCACTTGGGTATGGCTTCAAGTAATGTACATGGGAATGTTCCGACCTGGAAGCAAGGATGCGAGTGCCATCGATATCGGTCCGCACGGAGAGAAGGTCGCAGCGGCCGTAATCGAGAAAAAGTACAAGGAACTTGGCCCGATCACATGGCACGAATCGTCTGTTGGCGTTCTTTTCCTTGCGGTTGTCTTACTTTGGTTCTTCAGAAGTCCCGGATTTACTCGTGGTTGGCCAACCTACATCACTAATTTGTATGTACCTGGTTACTATTTATACTCTGGTTACTGATTGCTTGACCCCAACGTCGACCAACATTAGTGCAAATTACGCGAATAAAAGACACGTGTCTCCGTTTACAGGCAAGTCAAAGATTCGACGGCGGCCACCTGCGTTACCATTCTGTTCTTCGTATTACCGTCCAACCTCGACTTCCTTCGATCGTTCGACGCGAATCCCGCTAATCGACCAACCAAACCATCGGCCGGCATGATCACTTGGAAGATGATACATCAAAAAATGCATTGGAGTTTGATCCTGGTATTGGGCGGTGGATTCGCCATCTCGGCTGGCAGTACTACTTCAAAACTTTCTTCCATTCTAGGCCACGCTCTGATCGCATTGCAATCGATCGATCCTCTCGCAATACTGTTCATCGTCTGCGCGTTCGCGGAAACTGTAACGGAATTAACATCTAATGTCGCAGTCGCGAATATCATTCTACCAGTTTTGGCGGAAATGGTAAGAAGTAGTTTTTACGAACTGCAACCTCGAGTGAGTTGCTCATTTTAATTCCATGCTTTTCGTTTCAGTGCATTGCGATGAGAATACATCCTTTATATCTGATGCTGCCGGCCTCTCTTTGTTGTTCCTTCTCGTTTCATTTGCCAGTGGGTACACCGCCAAACGCGATCGCCACTGCAGCGGCACATATAAAAACTAGAGATTTTGCGATAGCCGGAGTAGGACCGAGCGTTATCACGCTTCTCGTTACAACACTCACATTTTCCACTTGGGGCACTTATGTCTTTAATCTATCCGAGTTCCCCGATTGGGCAATTTAAACCTTTTATAATTCCGCGTGTCGCGTTCAACGCATTCTTCTCCATTTGAAACGATTTCGAATCACCTCTTCCTATCCAGTATGGTATACTCAATAGTGTGTTTCCATAGAATCACCTTACATTACAACATCAATTATTTGTCTGTTGAACTATCAACCTGCTAGTTGCAGACTGTGTGTGTGTGTGTGTGTGTGTGTGTGTGTGTGTATGTGTCAAAGAGATGGACTCTCTTTCTATCTTCTTTTCTATCTTATCCGTCTATTTGTGAATGTAAACCTGTCGGTCGATTGTTTCGCGAAATTCTTTTCCCAAGTCACAGTCGGATTCCTTGTCGACCGTGATTACAGACGATACAAAATTATATTTTCGAACAAACAAGACAAAGGAAAGAAACTAATAAAGTAGCTTACCATCTACAATCGTGTCGTCATCTATAGTAGTGTTCGCTTCTTCTTTTTCCATACTCTCTACTTCTCTTTGTATTACGCTCCTCACAACCAATTTTGTAATCACTGTCTCGGGGTTACAGTAAGTTTCTCAGTTTCGTCGACACTTACGTGTTCAATTTGAAGAAATTGTACGGAATAATAACGTTTTCTTATATTGTGATTCAAGAATCACCGTACTGCGGTATCGGAAAATATAACCTATAAGAAAAACACCGCTCCGAAACATTTTTTACGGGAAAACGCAACACAATTATTTTTAAGTAAAATTTCACAATCAAACGGCGATAACGATCGTTTTCACGGTGAAGATCAATGTAAATATGTAGCAATACCTGTTATTTGACAGTTAAAAGATTCGGGACGCGTACGGTTCGCCACTCACTCTACTCGATGATATTACCACGAGTGTACTCGACAGCGACACTCGATGTTCGGAGAACCAGCATTGACAATTATGTAAAAGGTTGCTTTTCATTGAGCGAGAGTTGTCGAATCAACTTTTATTTATGCAACATCCTTGCCTTCAGCTATCATTTCTTTCACGAAGAGAACGTTATTTCCGAAAAAAAGAAACTACAGACGATGCAGATCTACATACACATATTTATTTGCTTCTATACCATTCTATACCAGCTTTTACTACAAAATGTAACAGACGAACGAACGTCGTATACACACAACGAGTTACATATATCCTGAACTCTACAATCCCCATCTATCGATTTTATGCATTCACAATTATTAGCTTCAGCATTTATAACTAAAATATAATTTCTTTTTACATATCTAATTCAAAGTATGTAAATGTATTTAAAAAACGTATGACGCCATCTATGCTAAACTGAGCAAGCTACTAGCCAATTAGTATCAGATTATTGCCGTCAGATGATGCCACTGTGTACGTTATTTAGAGAAAGAAATATTTCAGGTACGTAAAAGACGACAGCAGTTATTTTATAGAATAATATCGACAAAGAATGTTTCCACGAACAATACAATTCTTTTAATTACATAATATGTACACATATCCAGAAAGATATGGTGGCTCCATCTAATCCACTACGTTATAATACTGATTGACTAAAAGCTTGGGCGATTCGCCGCAGATGGCGGCACTGACACATCTGTTGTTTCATCGACGAGACTGCAGCAGGTAGGCAGCAGACAGAGCCATTTTGATTTAATCGTTGGTGTTGTTCGGTGTGGTTTGTGGTCGGTGTTTACAAGTGTCACCTCTGGTCTCCTTAGTGTTGAAAGGAAACAAAGTTTTTCCTAATTTACCGAAAGACGATTGATAGAATTTCTTAAACTGACGGGGTTTCGAAGAATCTTAACTCATCGTTCGTTGATAGTGATTCGTAAGTAAGGATTTAATTTCACGAAACAGAAATCTGTGAACTACGCGCGCATATATGTACTTAAATGTATCGTTGAACATCCATAACCTCTCGGCGTAGCGTCAGTTTCGTTTGTAAATAGTTTCTAGTGTCTGGTGTGTCTTTAAAATGAAAGCGTGTAACAAGGATTGGACGCTGATCGAAGGGAGGTTACAGAATTCATTAGAGTTCGCAATTCTAAAATCAGCTGCGAGAAGTTGGGCCTACTTTCAGGATCCGTAGCCCAACAGGAACGCATTATACCGTAAATCTCAGATGGAACAGACTCGGGTTGTTCCAAACGGCCGTTCTCGCAAACGACGTAACGCAGCAAACGATCGTCTTGCACGTCTGAATAAGGAAAAGAACCAAGTGTTCCAATTTCCCACATCACCACTCCAAAAGACCATACGTCGCTCTTCGAGGAGAACGAGCGGTCACGTAAAGCCTCCGGGGACATCCATCTTACTGGGAGATGATGAGTTTTCCCTTTGCTACTTTTTATTACGTATATACCGCTACGTGAGAGCCCAAAATCGGAGATCTAAATAGTATCGCAGTTCAATCAATATTGTAACCTGTTTAACACAATTCATACTTTACCGTTGTAGATTCTATACCTTTAAAGTCAAGTCTGCACTGACAAGTATGTTTCTTGCTGCTAGATCCCTATGAACAATTTCTTTGCTTTCCAAATACTCCATACCAGTAGCAATCTCTATAGCAAATTTTAAAAATTGATGCCGTTCCATTTTATGTATACAGTTTTCATCTGTATTGCTTGTGTCTCTCTCTTCTTCGTTGCCAATATTCATGTACTTTGGTACAAGTTGTTTTGATTTGTAATTGCTTTCTTTGCTAGACGCAATGAAATTTATATTCATATATAGAGCTAAAAATTAAAGAATACGTCTATAGTCGTAGTAAAGCCAGGAATTCAAAAGTAAAATGCTTACTTTCCGAGATATTCCGTTTCCATAAATATCTGACCGTATTTCCGTCTTTACAAACTATTTTGCTTGTTTGGTTTTTTTTTTCAAGTTGTAAGAAAGTCAACAGATCTCCACCTTGCATGTACTCGAGGAGAATGCATGTCGGCTTATCCGGTTCAATGCAATAGCCGACAAGGCTCACCAAGTGAGGATGAGTTCCTGCCTTCTGCATCATCTCGATTTCCTCTAGAAATTCTCGACGTACCTCCGAATCGTGTGACATTTTAACTGCAACTAGGGTGTCGTTGGCGTCGTCTACACGACCAAGATACACCTTACCAAAATGTCCACTACCCAATTCGCGTACGAGTTTTACGCTTTTAAATGGTACTTGTAATTTCTTTGCATCTTGCTTGCACTCTTCCTATGATAAATTCGATTATGTCTCTTGTATCAGCCTGATATGATTATTTATTTATTTTTTTTTTTACCTCAGACTTGGGTTGAAAGTACAAAATATTGTGCCTTTGAAGAATTGCTTCTACCCATAGAGATTTACATTTGGGAATTCTGTGTGCTCTAAAAACGATGAACTAGAGTAGTCTTTCTTTCTAAATTCTGTACGAACTACGAGACTTACTATTTTTCTATTTACCGAGAGTTATTATAAAATGTTGTACGGAAGTTATTACTATTATGATACAGTATAAAACTAAATGTACCAAACAGTATACAACAAACACCTAATGCACCAATGATTATAAACCATCGCTGTGAAATGTGAACGCATTAGTTGGGTAAATTTCTGTGTTATGAAATCTTCTTGTCATTAATTTCTTACTGCATTGTGACCAATGGTTTCGGCAGTATCCTCCGGTGATGTAGAATGTAGTATGAAAATTCCCTCTGTTCCAAAACAACCGTGATTGTTCACAGCATTAACCATCACCTTGTAACCATCCGTTACCTCAGTGTATCGATCATGAGATTTCATGTTCCATGAGAAATTTGTCTTTCCTGCGGGTACGTGTCCTATTTTTGTTATATTATAAACTGGCAAGCCCTTTCTCGAAGTTAACAGAGGCACGCCGACACTGTGAAAGCTAATCGTTAGATCTCGTATGTCGCACAAATAGTTTCTCTTGCCTTATAAAAGCTACGGGTATCATCACCTAATTATATAATAATGTACATTAGAAGCGTTAGAATTAGAGGATACGCTCCAATTTATTGAAATCATTTCCTTTTCTTTTCGAGTGATGTTTATTGTTGGTATTGGCAACATTATTTTGGCATTAACGCAGCTGCATTTACGGCCTATGCATTCCGGAACGGTATAGAGAATCTGCACGTTTCAAATAGATTTTTTTTCATTAGACAGATGTAACCAAAGAGATTTGCCTCTAACTTGTATACCTGCTGTATTGTACTCTATACAACTTACTTCGGGTGGATTTACCAGTGACTTTGTTCTTGGATTTGCAATGACTTGTACCTTGTAGGAACAATTGGGTCGGACATGCAAATCAGGCATGTCAATGAACATATTGTTTTCTGGTAACAAGACATAACGTTGCTTATCGTTATTCGATATGTAAAAAATTGAGCCTTCTGGACATTCCGAGGTACTTGCTCCCTCTCCTGTTTGCGCATCTGTGACTATAACGCTACAACACACACACACACACACACACACACACAAACAAACAAACAAACACAATCACATGTATTAGGCAAGACAACAACAAAAACATACCATTTTCTAAAACATCGTCTTTTGCATTCACTTGCAAAACAGTACCTGTAGGATGATGGTTGTCTGCCACTGTCCGGAGGCAGCCATGATATATTTAGTTTTACAAAGTTGTACGCGTTATCACTTGTAAGATATTTCTCATCTTGCAGAGCAATTACGCTCAAATTCTTCACTGTCCCGACAAATTCGGTCACACTTCCCACATACTGTTCACCATGTAAATTGAGATAAACGACGAGCATACAATATATCCGTAATAGCTGAATTCTTGGTAACATTTCATTTTCAAGTTAAGCTACAACGTGTTGGAAATAAAACGACATTGCAACAACACTGTTGTGTCGATCGATGAATTACTCACGCGGTATATTTCTTGTCAGAATATGATGTACGATGTATCCCTTCGCGAGGATTATCTGATAATTTTTGCAGGGGAGCACCACGCAAGATTAGCTCAAGTAGATGATAAGACGATAAGCTTAATATTTAGAGGCTACTACGATCGCATGTACATGTACTAAACCATAAGAACTTATTTCGATCGTCTGAAATATATTTCAAACTATTTAGTATGCCAATTTGTGAGCATCGATAATATGTGAAGAGAGAAAAGTAAAAGAAACCACGAATTGTGTTTCGATTTGAGTGCTTAGAACTAATTTGAGACACGTTTTTAAGTGGATCTTATCATCTTGGCTGACGCTTCGTATACTTGACAACACCTATCGAAGCATTGCGTATTGACCTGAAAGAATCGGAGAAACCGAAAGGACGAAAAATAGGGAGCAGTAGAGTGTGATTAGTTGATTGCGGATTTTTATGCCCAATCAGCTTTTCTACAGTAGTTTATAAAGACAGGAGGAAACGTAGAGATTTCGTTTTTCTCTTAAGATATTTAAATATCTTATTGGGTTTAGACTAGAAGTGCATAAAATCCGCAGTCTAGTGATTAGTCTAGGAAAGAAATTTACTTTGAAAGGTAATTGATTTCGTTTCACTTCGTTACAGAAGGGACATGGCCTCGGCTACCATATCACCGACCGAGGACGATGAATTGACCCTACCTCGTGCGTCGATCAATAAAATGATCAAAGAGATATTACCACACGTGCGCGTGGCCAATGAATCGCGGGAACTGATTTTAAATTGTTGCACGGAATTCATCCATTTACTGTCCTCGGAAGCGAACGAAATTTGTAATCAACAACAAAAGAAAACAATAAATGCCGAGCATGTTCTTCAGGCACTCGAAAAACTTGGTTTCGGGGACTATAGTGCGGAAGCGGAGGCAGTTTTACGAGATTGTAAGGCTGTCGCGGCTAAACGAAGACGTCAAAGCACAAGATTGGAAAACTTGGGAATTCCGGAGGAGGAACTTTTAAGGCAACAACAAGAATTGTTCGCAAAAGCGAGAGAAGAACAGGCAGTGGCCGAACAACAACAATGGCAACAACTACAAGCAGTCGCGCAAATGGCCTCGATGCAACAGGCCGATAGTGAACAAGAAGATTACTCATAGACGTTCCAAGAAGTCAAGCGTGTCCGTTGACTACTTTGCAACGGTGTTAATTGAACTACAGTACGAAAACGAGTGTATTTTCGCTTCAGTATATCCGAAACAATGGGACGCTTCATGGTATTTCTTTTCCTTCTTTCGATTTATTGACTTTCATACACATTATTTATGTAAAGGAAATCATTGTATCCCTATCATTCTGATCTGTGATGTTTTTCCATTATAAACTCTTTGAAGACGTTTAGTCTTTTTTCTCTCTTTTTTTTTTTTTTTTTTTTTTTTTTTTTTTTTTTTTTTTTTTTTTTTTTTTTTTTTTTTTTTTTTTTTTTTTTTTTTTTTTTTTTTTTTTTTTTTTTTTTTTTTTTTTTTTTTTTTTTTTTTTTTTTTTTTTAACATTTACAACCCGTGTTTCGTGTCTTTGTTTTATGGTCTGTTTGCAAACCAGTAGTTTTTCTTATAATCCATTGTAGATAATTGTGATAGTACAGGTACTATCTTATAGTGCGTAAGGCAAATAACGCTTCACACACGAAGCTAAACTTCTCACGACTGTACACCGCTTCGCGACAACCATGCGATTTTGCGCTCGGTTGACATTAAGTTCAGCTGTTCGTGAAGCAGGAGAGTATACGTTGCCCGACGATACGTACAGACTCTTCTCTCCAGAAAGACACTCTGACTCAGTATTGTGTAATATTTCAGCCAAAAAACAATACAATCTTAAGGCATTAATCTTCCATACTCTGAAGATAGATGACTCTTTTTAATCGCTTCCATTACCTTTGAAACATAGTGGTACCTAAATGATTCAATTACAACACTGATTAAACTAATTTTACCATCATATATTACACTAGAAGAGAAATAATTACATTGCAATACTTGCCAATTTTTTTCGGTTAAAGTACTCGGCGTCATTGGATTCCTGTTGACACCGTGTATTTTTGTTTTTAGTCGCTCGATTAGCTTCTTTTCATTTTGACGCATCGCAGTTTCTAAAGTGCAACAAACAAAAGATGCTCGATTGAATTAAATATCAAAGCGTAATTCGTATGGTCTACGTCTACGTCTACGTCTACATCTACATCGAAGGTAATGTCGTGTGTTATGGGTACCAAGACTACATTGTACCTTCGTTTGTAATTTTTGGTATAAAAAATAAATTTAATCCAGTATCCGTCGATTGATTACTCGTGTCTAAACCGCTATGAATCTGTAACCTAGAGGTGGCAAACACTTTGCTGTAAAAGTCCTGCAAACGTGAAAATAATTATGGACCAGGTGCTAATACTGTTGCACATTAAGTATCGGAAATGCCAGACTATTGTAATCTATTCTTCACCTTAATTTTCTCCACAATGTTTGGAGTAAAATCTTGTAGTTCGGCTTTATTGTGTAGGAATATAATGTGCGGGTAGTATTCCACATAGTCTTGATCCATATTAGTGGTGGAAGATGGTTTTAACATTTCTGCGGTTTGCAAGAACCTAGATATGGTAGGAAAAGAAATTTGATGTCACAATTGTGTTTTAGTTTTCATGGTAAAGCATAAACATGCTGTACTTACCTAACTAAATTTGGATCTACAAACCAGTCTTGCACAAAAATAATAACGTGACACACAGAAAACAAGAAGGCAGCAAATTGCAAGGATTGCAATTCCAAATTTGTTTCGATGCTTGCAAAATCAGTTGTGGGTTTCTTCTGATCATAACTAATCGAATAATCTATTGTTGAGTCAGAAAGTATAGGTTGAGTGTCCAAATATATTACACGATTTTTTGTCACAAAAAAATCAATACCAGATGTGCAATTTGCACCACTTTCATGATGGGATATATCTTGTATTGGAAATACATTAGACCTAAGAAGTAAAGAGACGCTATAAGGACATAATAAATTCAAAGGACAGTTGATTTAAAAGAGACACTGACGCGTAAGTAGATGTCAAAAGTGACATTATAGTGGATTTTCCAACACCTTGAGCTCCTAGACATCCTACTACCAAAAAGTCTTGTTGATCGTATAAGAATTCGAGGGAGTTTTCGCAAAGTTGCATATTTTCGTCCATAAACTTGCCACTGTTTGTCATTTCTAAGCATGTTGGCAGTATCGTACGAGCAGCTAAAACATATTTGTAACTGTGGTCTGTGCAGTTGCAGAAAAAATGCATAAATAAAACTTGAGACTAAAGAAGAGACATACGGTCTGGAATTTTTGATGAAACATTCGACGATGAACAATCAGTCTCTTTCCTGCAATACGAACAATGAACTATGTTTAGATAACGATTCAAAACCGAGAAATAGTGTAGCAATACATTTTGTGCAGGATAAATCGTTTTACTTGTTAGCACCGTTGCGCTGACTTGGTGAAACAGCTCTGCTCTCACCTTCTCTGGTTTTCAGTATAAATGTGGGTCGATCTATAACTTTAATTGTACCTCTACCATCGTTTTCCCTTACTTCAGAATCTTTCGCAGTTATTGACATCATTTTTTGTACATTCATGACGACTACCCTCTCATCTTCTGTACAATCTTCAACAGTCCACAAACATACACAACAGTAACAGAGACAAATCAAGGCAAACACTGTCTTTTAGGCATTTTCGGTTTTTCAAATCTTTCGTAGTTTTCGCATAGAACAAGTGTATTTCAGATTACAGACAACCTTCGCGCTACTCTTCTTGCCCAGTTCGAGCTATTAGTACCTGTCTAAATCAGTCTAAATATAGACAGATAGGATTTTTCTTAGAAAGAATGAGCCAACGATTATATTTATTTGTTGATGTATAATTGTGTATAAATTAATATTTAATTGTTGATATGTAGAATAATAAATAGAACGAAGGGTTGAAACGACTCGTGGCGTCATCTAGCGGCACGAATTCGGTACTAATTGACTAATACCTTGGGCTTTTTGCCGTAGATAGTGCCACCAGTCAAGTTTAGAACTTCATGTTAAAATGATACGGTAGTGTCATCTAACGAGGAGACAAGTCGTACTACGTACATGAATATTAGCTTGTACGGTTCGCCGTAGATGGGGCAGTTAACAGTACCAACCTGTATGTAATTAATTGCATATGTGTATCAATGTGTGTATTATGTATGCGACGCGCAATTTTGGTATATCATGGAGAATTCTTCAACAAACAACCTAAGAAGACACACTGAGGAGACAATTGGAAAATGTATTCAACTATACTTTGCATGTTTTTCTTCTGTATTCTTGGTTATATGTAAGTTTTCTTCTTAATTTTCAGTCTTTCATTAAGAAATATATATGAATTAACAGAGAGAACAGTAATGTACGTGTATTTGCGGAATTTAGACTGCTTCTATTTCTTGTTCGTCCGGTTGGGCAGGTTGAAGACTGAGTACTCGCAAATAGCTCAACTCACGATTTCGTTGACGTTCTTCTTCACTGATCTTGTTAAGTAGAAACGGGCCGCTGAAAGTAACAACGAAAGCACCGATCGGGGCCATGATTAAGATGGTAATCACGGATATTCTCACGACATCGAGGGCTATTTCGATGTTCTCGGACTGCATTTTATTCCGCACCCGTTCTAATGCCATTGGTCCCAGAGCTGCCTTAAAGTACATATATATATATATATATATATATATGAACCGGTGAATCTCTTTGTTCGTCATTAGTTGATTAGCATCGGAATCTATCGCTAACATGCATCGAGTACCTGTAGCGTGCCTTTTGGTAACCAAGACGCAACGACGAACAATCGTTCCTTCCATGTAAACTGTGTCCGAAGGGTCGTCAAACACGTGGCAATACTTCGTGCCTAGTTTTCGGCAGAAGTAAACCTATTTAGTTTAATCTTTTTGCCAATGTATACATACATATAGTACATCGAATCGAATCGGATCGAGTAGAATTCGATCAAGTGAAAGTTCGAACAACTTACCGTCAGTCCTATGAGCATACACGAAAGATGAAGACCTAATCTGGGTATGGACCAATCCGTAAGATCAATATCAGCACCAATAACACCGACCAAGATTGGCTGTACCAGATACCAAAGGATATGCGCCGCTTGTCGAAAAGGTCTCGACTATAAATCCCAGATAAATGAATTTCTATAATGATACGACGAGGATCGAAATCGTCGATTCAAGTTATACTGTCGGATAGAACACTTGCGTCGAATGAAACAGACAACGTTCTCCATCCGGTGACGGCAAAGAAAGAGAGAATCATGCATGCTAGATACCCTCCGCCCGAAATGGTCATGTTTGCCGTAGCGGTGGTGCACATCAAGGATCCTAGTATCAGGCCGATCATACGATGCCAGGTCGCGTATTTCTAGTTTGTTATGTGAAACAAGTTACGAAAAACCAACGAAAACGAGGGCATTGGAAGGAGGGATAGAAAAACTCACGTGACTACGATGCGGAAAAAAGATAAAGTAAATTCCCAAGATAGCTCCCGTCACGATGCCCAGTAGAAAATCTCGAAGACCAACGGGTATGTAAAACCACCATTCGGTTCTATTTTTATCTGGAAATCTCGAATTATTTTTCGCATCGTTACGTCGCAAGTTACCGACGTCGACGACGCTTACTGTTTCCAAAGACGACAGAGTACCAAACTGCGAAGAATGAAACGATATGGACATTGTCGATACAGGCAGCGGTGCAGAGGATCGTAGCAAGTCCTTTGTCTTCGCCGTAGCCTTTCTCTGCCAGAGGTAGAATGCAGTTGACAGTGACCACCGGTGACATACAGGCGAGTATCGCCCTTTTTAGGAGAAACAAATCGAAAAGTAAGCGTTTAAAGTGGTGCACACCGTTTAATTTAAACTCGTAACTCACCCGGTCATAAAGGACCAGTCCCAGGGATACGATAAAATGATTCTACAGCAAACAGCCAGAACGCACATCTCGGCCGAGCAGGGAAGGATGGCCAAGATTATCAGGAATATTGGGTGTTTCCCCAAACTGGTTATCGATAATTGCAACCCCGCGCGAATCATGATAAAAGTCAAGCAAAACGTTCTGATCTTGGAAGTTACAGCGACACCGAGGTCCTCGTGAATATCGTAGAGTCCGAAATTGCGAACGATTAGACCGGCCAGCAACATTCCGAACACTGGCGGAAGATTCAGGTAAGGGATGTACGACAAGGACCAACCGAGCGAATAAGAAAAGATCACGAGCGTGTATAAACAGAAACCGTGGTTGCGCGGGAGCATCGTTTCACCGAGCAAGAAATACAAAACGGCCCAACCGATTAACACGATCGTCATGCTAGTCACGAACCAGAACAAGCTTAGCCACGTGAAGCGTTGTCCGAGGTACTTTGACACCGGCTTCGTTACAACTATGTTTCGTATTAATGAACTGCAAAGCGTCATTCGATGGCAACACGTTGTATCCTCGAGGTTGTACTCGTTCGTTTCAGGTATATTCATTTCGCCGTTTGGAAATCTTGATTTCAAATTGTATGCAAAGGTACGCAAGCGTGTTTATGTCTTCTTCAAGTTCGATTGGTTAGCCGAGATTCGTTTCAGGATCGTTTATGTTCTTGTCCGAAATATCGATTGTCTTTCTTTTAAACATAATACATAATACATATAGTATATAGTATATAGTATATAGTATATAGTATATAGTATATAGTATATACATACATATGAATGTACTCTGTTGGACGTTGAATCATGTAGTCTTTCGTGCATCTGGTATTTGGATCGAGGTTATCTGTCTTTTTTGCGATTGTTTTATTCGCCGTCGATCGATCCAGTTGGTTCGGTGGGTTAAAATCGTTAAAGTTAAAGTATTGAGGAATATGTATAGATAGTTGTTCACAGGGAGCACGATCATCGAACGTTGGTCTAGCTGGAACTAAAAAGCGCGTTTCGCGGTAAACTCTGTTGGATGATCGTATAGTAGACGTAGCGACGCTGCAACAGAGAGAAACCACGAGAAACTTTAGTACGAGCCACCGGGTCTTTGACCCGAACGGAGTACTTGAATCGACGGTATTGGATTTGTGTCTGGCTGGGAAATTAGCACTGTTGGAAAATGAATATCTATTTTCGTTGTAAGAAACGATGCAGTTATACATACATATAGAATGTATATTACTCGCGTCAATGGATAGTCACTTGTCGGACGTCGTGTGGATTTCAGGTTATTGAACCTGCTCATTGATCTTTCTTCTGATTTTTCTCGCATCGATTCACATTTAGCGGCGATTACAGCGACCAGTACCTCTACCACCGATCGCAACAACATCTTCACTTTGTTGGTTCTCCGTTTGATGGACAGCATGGGCTGCCGACATCGTAAATCGTAATGCGAGTAGCAACGCAACGCGAAGTTTTGTTATACGCATTGTCCATATTCACATTTCTCGTAGTATCCTGGCATTATACCTTACATCGTGTGTTTCAGATGTTTTTATAACGAAGAAGAAGAAGAAGAAGAAGAAGAAGAAGAAGAAGAAGAAGAAGAAGAAGAAGGTTCGCGCACTGTTTGAAATTACGCAACGGAATCATGGCGCGAGCCAATAAGGAACAGCCTACATAGCCATTTATATTTCTGGATAATAATTTCGTATGTACATTCGGCGGCTGATTAACGGCAAACTGTCGCAATGCGTCGCTGCGCTTGTTCCACCGTACAGCCGCGTCGCGAGACGACAATTCGGTAATGACAATGCGCAAACAACACCGCGTGAAGCTATTTTACGGGAGGAACTAGATTTCGTTAATAATAAATTTGTGTTTCATTTAGTTTACCGATGGATGGTTATCTACTTGTGTGCGAAACCCTGTTTTCGAATGCGTCAACTACCTAGCGACGAACAAACGAGCGAACGAGATGAAGATTGGAAAGCGAAGAACGGGCTAAAGAGGGTTTTCTTCGCTTGATGCGCCTACTTTGCATAGAGGTCCGTGCTTCGTGTGGCGCGCGTGGAAAAAAGTACCCTCGAAACTGGCCGTAACGACCGGTAACCCCATCCTAAACGAAGCCTTAAAGAGAGAAGGGCAGGGTAACCGTGTAACAAGAGGTCGTGCAAAAGGGTTGAAGAATCGCGAAACCATGAAGGGGAAGCACGAGGGACGTCCACAAGTAGGGTGTGACGTGGCTGTATTGTAACCGGAGAGTGGAGAGTTTCGTTGCACTCGCGAACTCGCGATGCGTCGCTCCTAGGCTCTCTATGCTCGTGAGTAAAACTGTTCTAGTCATTTCGCGGTAGACAACCTAGTCGTACGCCCTGTAATATTCACGTACTTTGGTCAACTTTCGTTCCGAATCTCTGTTCGCTAACGAATCATCCGTGTACGGTTGCGTTTCCGTTTCTTCGTATCGTTTCGTCGACGTACTGCGTTACCAACGCGTGCCCGACGATTCCGATTCGGTGATTGTTGCCAAGACCGAATTGACTATAATTCAAATTTCCTAACGCGTTCATCGTTCTCTTTTTTCCGCGTATTTCACCGTTTCTTCCTTTCTTTTCTTTTCTTTTCTTTTTGTTTTCTGTAAATATGCGCAAACACTCGACGAGGAACGGCTAATTGACTAGCTGTCTGGCTGGTTCGTTTCTCTTTCACTCGAAGCTAAAGCATCCAACGAGTCGAGTATATCACAGAAACACCAGACAATACTCTTTTGTATCTAACCGAAGCTGTGCGCCGTTTGCGCGAGTATTGCAAAGTCGTTAGGTCTACGGCGTCTACGCAAAGACTGTCGGATAAGGAAGCGTGGCGTGACGCGACGCGACATTGTTTTCTGACTTTTCCGCAGCTCCTTCGTATCGTATCATTCGTCAGCGAACGTCAGTTTCAAACACGTGTCGTAGAACACCGACGAATGGATAGAACGATCGACGTTATCCTGTGGAAAATGAACGTTAACGGCTGGGTTTCCTTTTTCGATCGAACGATGCCTCGCGACAGCGTATGTGGCACGCGGATCGATATTTTAAATTCGAGTACACGACATTCCCCATGAAGAAATCGGAGAAATTTCAAGCATCACGCGCGGTGCAGGATAAATTTTGCAGGCGCATCGGAAATGAAGTCACGTATTAGTCCTCGAGCAAATCCTCGAGAGGAGAAAGGGTTGAAGGTAGACGTTTCCCATCAAACGGTCGAGTATACTTGGATTGTTTTCAGCTTGAACATCCGTTTCTATAATAATAATAATAATAATAATAATAATAATAATAATAATAATAATAATAATAATAGGAGAACTTCGACATTCGTACATGTATTAAGTATGTATCGTATCGACGAATCGAGAGTTTGGGAAAGATGCGCAACTCGACTCAGGAGCTGTAGAATCGGAAAGATGGCATGGTCCAGGCATGATCGATCGTTCTGTTGGATGGTACGAACAGCATAAGGCTTGAATTCTTTCAAAATTTTCCACAGTCGCGGTATTTTTCGATTACCGAATAGATTTTGTAATAAAAGTGGCCGATCGTTCGAAGGGAAGGAAAACAGGAGTAAAGGGTGGTCGTGGCTCGTGGCATGCAGCGCCACCGTTCGGGTGTATTCGGTCCTGTTCGGTTCTCTTCGTCGCCGTACAGCCGATGAGTGGCGCGCGGCGCGGCGAGACGCGAGCCGCGTTGCCAGTCACCGACGAAGATTCGTCGTGCGTTGGTCTATTTCTGTGTCTGTTAAGAGTTTAACTTGTGTATTGCGATTTTATACTGTCCGTTCGAGACAGTTAAAAGAGTAGAATCACAACGGAGAGCGGTACCTTCACGAATACGTGATTTCGAGCAATAGAATATCCGATTCAGCTGCACGAAAGGTTGTTCCGAAAGTCTCCCGATCCAACGATTCGGTGAAGGGAATACGAACGTGTGTCAGTGCAAAGTCGCGTAGTGGCGTCGCGTCGGTATGCTCGGTGATTTGTTTTGACATGTGTGTGTTCTGCCATATTGGATTATCGCATCGTGTGTCGAGGGCTATGCGAACGCGAGACTCGCGTTAAGAAGGTACGTCGCGTTTTTATTTCTTTATCATTTCAGTTTCGAACCGTTCTTGTGGACAGACCAGGAATCGTATTTTATTTAAATAGTTGTTTGTTGGTGACAACGTGTTGTGTCTCGGTCCGATTTCAACATATTTACGTGGAGATCGTTCAAAGTCTATTTAGCTAGAAAGCTATAGAGGAACGATTTGAGGCAGATTTTACGCCGCGAAATGGCTGTCATGTTTCGTGATGAAAACATTGATTCGTGAAGTTTGCAAGAAATCGGATGTTTCTACCTCTACGAACGGTATTGCGTCGTTACGGATGATGATGATGATGATGATGATGATGATTCGTGATCTGAATAGATCGTGTTGCCGATATCATTTGTTTTGAATATTTTTCAATCGTTCGATCGAATCCGAGAAAAATTCACTACTGGTTTCCGTGTTTGCCCGATCGATCGCGGTCCGCAAAGTCGTGTCGGCCCGACGCCAACGAACCTCGCTTCAGGCCGCTACGTCTTTTTTATGGTTCGGAGCTTGTTCGCGAGTATGGTTGTGAACCGAGGCGAGGCAAGACGAGACGAGACGAGACGAAACACGGGTCACGCCTTATACCATAGTATTTGCTTGGAAAACACAAGGTGTTCGAGGGCCTCGATGGATACCTATGACCCGTAATTCTAGCCCGTAATGATCGGTCGTTGATCGGCGTGGGGGAGAAAAAGCAACGGTGGAGGGCTTAGGAGGGGGATAGATAAGGAGGAGAGAGAAGCTTGTGGCTACGATCGCTGTCAGCTGTCAGTCGTGTCGTATATACATATTGTACATAGTAAGTTACATACTAAATAGATAGACGTGTTCGGAATCGTATTGAATGGATTTTCCCGCCTTTGAAATCACTGGCACATCTCAGTTCGGATGTCTTCTGATATCAACCGAATATTCGTCGTTTGTCTGTTACGTCTTTCGAAAAATTTTTTTTCGAAACGAAACGTTCGGAAAGAGACGGCGCTTGTATAATATGCGCGAGAAAGATCGTCGTTTCAACATTGAACGTGACCTATTTTACTCTGGTTATTCTTAGGTATAGCTTAAGCCTGCTCTTTAAAACCATGCATCCTCGTGTTTCGCAATCTCTCCCTCCCCCATTTCGATGAGCATCTGCGTCCGAAATCAGTCGTAGGTTTGATTCTTCCGGTTGAACGTGAGGGGAACGTTGGAATACGAGGAAACTTTGTTTTCTCGACTCAAAGGGCGAAACCAAACACGGTTTCGAACAAAACAAGTATCGGTCGCATCTCGTGAGGAAGAAACATTGTTTTCCCCCTTTTGTTGGCGCGACACGGCCAACTTTCTCCAGATGTTACGAGCATTCGCCAGAACGTTTCGGTTTAACTGCAACTGCGTTGTTGTCTCGAGCAAAGACTATTGAAAAGCAGTCCCGTGACCCTTGTCGATCTATCTCTATTACCCTCTGCGACTCGTTGTTATACGCACACGTTACCCACGTGTTTGTACGTTGCATAAGTCCCTCGTTTCTAAGCGGTAACTACTCTGCGTAGTTAACAGTGCTACAGTAGCCACGCTGAGATTGCCAACTGTAATTTCTCTTTGTACAAAATATGTATGTATGTATGTATGTATGTATGTGCGTATCTCGAGACCAATTATTTCTAATATACTTTCCCGTTTTCGACTAGCCACCTGAAAAATTACTGCCGTGTTAGCCAGTTTTCACCGATGAGGATGATTCTTGAGACTCCATTGATAGTACCTAATCGTGGTGGACGTCTAGATGGTGCCGCAAAGCAGCAAAGAAACGCTCTGGCCTGACCGACTCTCGACCGGCTAAACGATAGAACTCGTCGTTTAATTGTGAAAACTCCCTTTGGTTCCAGAAATCCGTTCTCGAACCAGAGAGCAATGGATCTCACGATCGGAGCCGCGTGGATCGGTTAAGGTAAGAAATGCGTATATTCGATCATAGCGTTTTATACATGTTAGCTCGCGTTACCATTGAAAATATATTAGGGAAACACGGGTGAAAAACGTATCGGGCACCAGTTCGATTGTTCGTGAGTTGCTTTGTTGTTCGGTCCGAGAATCTGGTACGCCAAAAATGCATCACAATGTACGTGTACCCGAGAAATTCGGACAAAGAGTATAGACCGAATTTTTTGTGTTGTAGCCACGACGGTGCTAAGGAATCGAGGATGCCACGTGGAAATGCGAAGTTGAAAGATACATACATACATACATACGTACAGTCTCGAAGGACCATCGCACGTTAATACAAATACGTGATCTGCTGGTGCGAAGGAAATCTTGTATATACTCGTTGAGTGTTCTGTTTCTGTTTCGATGAAAAAGTAGAGCTCGAATCCGCTTCCATTCCGATCCAAAGAGAATCGAATTTCTGTATCGGTGTCTACGCGTAGCGAATCGCGACGAATAAGACAAGAAAACTCTGAAACACGGATGTTGCCGGGTCTCGCATCTGTGTTCAGTTCGGTTGGTAGAGCGAATGGATGTTGTGGGAACGTCGTGGCCTGCATTCTCATAGCCATACCCCTAGGTACAACTCTACACCGTTTTTCGATACTCGCTGTCTTCCTGTCGATCGAGCGGACCGATTCGTATCACCTTTCTATTCCCCCTACCTCCTTTCTTTTTCATCGAACTTTTCTGTCAACGTGTTTTTCTCGATACCGGCGGTTTTGCAGTGAACCACCGACTTTGGCACTTTTATTCGCGGTGTCCTTCGCGCGAGAATGCAGAAGCCGTGGTATGTACCTACGTGACAACCGGGCAACGAGAAAAAGGAAGCAAGTTTTCGAGCAACGCTGATCTCATTCTATTCGTCATTGCGCCGACTATCCTTGTCATCTCGCTTGAGATACGAAATTCGTATTTCGCGTGGGTATCGTCGAAGCATGATGACACTGCGATGACGCTAGGTTACCCAATAGCTGTATCGTGTCTCTCGTTACGCGAGAGATCGTCAAAGGTATAGACGTATGTAGTTTGTCGTTAGTTTCTAAACTTTAAACAAATTTATCTTCTTCTCACCCAGTGAATCACGATGTACATACGTACAGCGTCTCTTATACAATTCCATACTTTGTTGGTTAGCGAGCGGCGTTCTTACATAATGTTACGGTTCGCTTGTTTCGTCGGTGGGAGAGTCGAGTGTATCGTGTCCCAGAGTGTAGGCATTTAGCACGGAAATTCGAAGACGGGGTGGTAGGCGTGAAACCGTTGATCGAAACTTTTGCGGCGAATGTTTCGGTTACGGTTGTTTTATCTCTGGTTCCCCTTTGGATTGATTCCGAATCGACGCGGATTCAACGATCCGAACGTTCGCAAAGACGCGATCGCGTGTATCACGCGCGAATACGATCGCCGAACGGGGTGTGTATACGACGGAATCGTGACTCCTTCGAAAGCGATCGCACCTTGTTCGTTTAGTCCCGAGACACGGGTATCGATTGGCGGCAGGGGAGCCAGCGAGCAGACTGGTCGGAGATTTTGAAACGCTCTTCTCGGTTATTCGGTCCGTCGGGTTTGCGCATGAAGCGTGCCCTCGCGTGACAGCCCCGACTGGATTGCAGCCAGATATAGGATGACGACGTAGACGAGGAGGTGAATTTATTCGCGTTTGCATGCCTATAAACGTTGCCGGCGCCGCTGCATCGGTGCCGAGAGGCACTTGGTTACACCTCGATGGCCAGTGCTCTCTCTCTCTCTCTCTCTCTCTCTCTCTCTCTCTCTCTCTCTCTCTCACTCCCCCTCCGCGGTCGTTTCTCGGATTGTCTGCTGCCTGTCTTTGTCTCGTTCGTTCGTTCGTCCGATCGATCGATCGACCGATCGATCGACGTTAATCTCTTCTCTGCGTATTGATATTTGTAATGGGATCAAGTAGGTACGTGTCGCCCAGCCGTTGGTTGATTCGAACGGAAGCTCGGTCGGAAGCAATGAATTCTCATCGACGTCGAATCGGAAAGGACCAGTCGCGTATAGCTAAGGGAGCAACGCGGCAGATGATTCTATTCGCCAGCCGAGGGATAACTTCCCCCGCGGAACCGCATTTACGAATAGGGATTTCTCCATTTCCGGATTAGCTGCATTGGAATTTTTCGATATTGCGGACGACGTTCGAAACTCGATTTACTTCCAAGGCGCCTACGGTGCCCGATTTCCGGCTTATTTTCGTTACGTTCGCGTTCGTCGTTTCTCCGAGGACTAGCCGAGTATTCGATCGGTTGAAAGTCCTCGAGCGAAAACATGTAGCCGCTGGAGGGAATATTCTTGGTCGATCTCGGCGGTTTTTTTATTTCTTTCTTTCTTTTTTGAACCGCGACGTTGAACAATACACGGAGATACCGGAGAAAGCGCAGAAAAGCTGTTCGGGTAGAATAGAAGGAAGGGAAGGAAGGGAAGGAACAAAGGTTGGAGAGGAATAAAATGGTAGAAGGGACATGATACGGTCCGACATCATTGTTGAAGAAGCGAGACAACGTCGTACGGTTAATTAAGCGTGGTATCTCGTTTCATCGCGTAGTTTCGTTGTCGACAGAAAGACAGAGACAAAGAAAGAATAGCCGCAAATGGTGCGTACAAGTTGTCCTAGTCGTTTTTGATTTCGATGGTGGGTCGAATCGTCGGCGAAAGCGTAAAGTATCGAGGAGAATGCGTGAAAAATTCGATACAATGGTTGGAAAAATGTTGGCACGCCGACAGAAAGTGCAAGGTTAGGTTACGTCGACGACGGACAGACGGATCTATCGTGGAAGGAAGGATGGATGGATATATGTAGAGGAGTGTACGGGTTCGTGGTTGGTCTCGTAAAATATGCAAGCTGCAATCACGTCTCTTGAATGGAAAAGGTCAGAAATAGGGAAACGAGTGGAAGAAGGAGAGCTGGAGCGCGAAAGAGGCAACAAAAAGGAGTGGGTAGACGGAAAGAGAAAGGGAAGCGCGGTTGTGTAGTGAATCGTGGAAAAGAGAAAGGGGAGTGTGGGAAGAATGGCGAGCGAAGGATGATAACGCGGAACACGGACAGATATCGCGTCGGAAAGGGGCGAGGGAGGAAAAGGAGACAGAGAATCGGTGGTAAAGATGAAAAAAGGAAAAGGAAGAGCTGGTATCCTCTACGGCTGTGTTTCGTAGAGCAATGTCCGTAATACCACCGGGCGATACTGCGAGTCTCACTCGGATTCTCTGTGCTGTATTTGCAAAAAATGTTCATAACTAACCGATCCACCGTCGTGATTTCATGCCTCTCTCGTTTGTTTTACACAAGAGGCATATACACATGCATACGTATATATATGTACATGCGTACGACGAGGTGTAACGATGGAATCGGTGGCCCGTGAGATATCTCGAACGTTGGATTTCAGCCGACTTCCAGGAATTTTTCATACAGAAAGTTTACGTCGAAATGGAAAAACACGCGCACGCGTGAGCATCGTCTCGACCGACAAACGAAACGAAGTACATACACAAGGTACATACTGTTTTCTGCTGAGCTAGTAAGGACGAGGATAGGGAGGAACGGCGGGGACAGAGAAGCAGAAGTAGAGAGAATGGGGATGAGGTGGAGCGACGAGCTTGGTGACTCTCGAGCATCGGGTAAGCGCGCGGTTGAACGGATTCTACTGGGAAAAAACGTGAGCGAGTCTCGAGTGGCAGCACTTTGCTGAAATATGCACGATCTAGCCGTAGTTGCTGGTACTATCTGGCTGCTTACATAATATCTGTGTAAACGTCGTTCTCGAGAGACGCGATCGAATCCTCCACTTGCCCCTCACCCCCGGTACCTGGAAAATAGGCTCGTCGGACTCTGTTTTCGCGATATGCGTGGCAGACGATTTTCCTGCTTATCGAAGCGTACCAGCCAAATTTATCGAGTACTTCGCATGTTTCAGGCCAGGGGCGGTCGATGCCTGATGGCGTGGTTTGGAACTCAACGCTGGAGAAATCCTGCTCCAGAGTAAGTAGATTATTCCGACGAACGAGTTGACGCGTCTTTTCATTTCTAAGCTCGCTTGCTAATCCACTTTACGCACAAAACGCTTGCTCCAATTTCACGACACACGATGTTACACGAGTATCTAGAAATAATCAAGTACCACGTATAATATTATGGCAGTACTCTGTATTCGATGTACTTGCAGGTTAGTAAATGTTCCATCGCGTTGGAAACTTATCATTCGAAATCTTTATGTTTCCGTTCGATTAAAAGCATTCGATAGAATTGCTTTCCCCAGATTTCCGGCGATCGAGGCTGAGCTTGTTTGCCGTTTCTATTTTTCTTTTGTTTCTATGTCGTCTCTGTTTACTCTCTTCTCGTCTTCTCGCCGGATCGTGTCCCGTCTCGTTTCAATTCATCCGGATCTCGTCTGCAGTCTGTGGTCTTGTACTATAAAGGGGCAGACGAAACAATGCGTATCCTTTCGTTTCTATAAACCGATTAATACGCTATCCAACGATACGGATTAATTATCAGTTATTGCTCCTCAGGGAGAGCAAAACGACGAGAATGAGGTCGGGAATGGGGATAGGAACGAGATTGGGAATGAAAAGTGCGGCAGACGAATCGCGAGAAAAAGAGTGGAGGGTAACGGTATCGGGCAGCAGACCAATTAACTACTTAGGACGGCTTTCATCGACTCGACAATCGGACGGATCGATTCGGGGTGAATAACTTTTCTAGCCGCGTTGCGTATACGTATGTACGTTTGTATGCCACCGGAGGATACTGCGTTGCGTGTGTATTTACGACCGAGGATAGATAGATACGTTCGTCCGTTTCCGCTCTTTAGATTCTTTTCAGACTCGGTCAGTCGCCGGTCGACATTGCGTATCATGTATTGCCTCTATCATCATCATCATCCATCGACGGCTAGAAAAAGATGTGTTCCTGTTCGAGAAACGAGCAAACGATATGTAGATTGAACAGAAATATAGAAAGATGAACAACGTAGCGAGTCATTCGATCAGAGAGAAAAAAAAAAGTAGAGAAGGAACAGGAATGGCCGGTAAAAGCCTAGCGTTCTATGTAGTATAATCGAGTAAACGAGTTAAAAATACAGCGGTAAAAGGCCAGAAATTTTTATAGTTGGAGCAGCCGGTGGTCGTGGTCGTGGTCGATCGCTTCCGTTCCATGAATCGTATCGATTTACACGTTATACCTATACTCTCTAGTCTAGCCGTCGGATAATTTGATCAATAGTTACGGAGTACGCTGGTCTGGATACGATTAGGTCATTAGCCGACACTTTAACGCGATTTGCTCGGTTGCCTGGAGGGTTGCGACCTTATTACACGATGGATTAACCGAATGTTGATTTGACAACGAAACGGAAAACGTTTACGATCGAAGAAAAAGAACACGACTCTGAATCGGTAAAAAAATCCGATTGCAGGCAATAATCGTTAATTCAGCCGTTCTCATACATGTAACGGCGAGCAACTGGTCGACCCATTGCTCTTTTCATCGATCGATCAACGTATTGTGCGATTTGCCTCGGATCGGACTTGGCTCGCGCGATTATCATTCTTTTCATTATTCCATCGTTCTTCCTGTATCGATGATCGGAGAACGGTGGCGGTGAGAGAATTCGCGATCGTCGCGATGAATCACGCCCCAGGGTGTTCCTTTCACTGCGTAATAGGTGTGTGCACGTGTATCTACTGTGAACGCACGATGCGGTCGGAGAAGGGCGCGTTGTTCGTAAGATACCCCATACCCAACATAGGCACGACAAGCAAACCGCGTCGGACACGCGTATCGACCACTGACCCACATACGGAAACGACTGCGCCGTTCGATACTCACCGATTCGCTGGAATTGGATGATACAACCTCGCTTCAGAGGATACTCTCTCTTTCTCCACTGTTGTCGCGCGTCCGATGATACCTATGTACATATGTATAGTCTGTTGACCGTTCACCGATTCACACTTTACGCGTTTTCCGTTTCAAAGATAACCGTGTACGAGGACCGATCGATCGAAGCGTTTCCAAAGCTTCGGCCTGTCCCTAGTCTCTTCTAGTGGTTCCACCTTTTAGTGTCGACGAAAGCGTCCCGATTGCGTCGCGTTCAAAGATAATTGATAATTTGTTGACCAAAGTATTGAACGGTGGCTCGGTTGAAAAATCTGCTCGTCTATGTTCTCTCTTTCTATTCACTGATTGGCAAGTAGGGTCGTTAGTAAGGCCTTTGCACGGTTCTCTCGTTAAAGCGATCTCGTTTGACTCGGTGCCGACAGTTATGAGTGAAAAGTAACGTGGATCGTTGTCGGAGGGGGGTGGGATGTGTAGGATGGGGCGGCGAACGTTAATTAGAGTGCACGATGATTGTCACCTTACTCCCGCGCTTACTATGTACATACATATATTTGCATATGGGTCAAGGAACGGGTGACTGAACGGAACGAAGGTTGGAACAGGGCGCCGTGCCGCGATGTTCCATTGATCGCGAGAGAAACCGAATCGACGCGCGACGGGGAGGTCAGTTTTCATTGGTCTCGTTGTCAAAGTCTGTTGCGTGGTGTTTTCACGAAAATTACCATAGCACGATTACCGTTCGCTTCAGCAAGAGACTGCATTGCGCCACAGTACGCGCAGCTTCGGTTTGTCAGTGCCGGCTTCGCAACTTTGCTCACCGACACACCCCCGCTTTCGCCATCGCCATCGCCTCCGGCACCACTTCCACCTCCGTCTCTACTCCCAACTATCACCCCTTCTCGTTTCCCCTGACCTTTGCGCGTTCTCGGTTCTTTGCCCCTTCCGGCTATCCTGCCTGCTACTCGGTTCTCTTGCTCCGTCTCCTCTGCCACCCAGCCTGCCCCCATCCTCTTTCTTCCTCTCAAACCTTTTCCGTCGTCTCTCACGACGATACGTTCTACATATAGGTAACAATATTTTTTTATTCCTTGCACGACTATGTCGTCTCGATTGTTTCGTGCCCAATTAAGTAAGTAAATGTTTGCCGAGCTCGCGATACACGGTGTCGTTGCTGAAATACGGCCGTGAAAACGAAAAATCGATACAACATTAGACGCGTAATCCTCTATAGAATCGACCGATACGTTTGTTCCAGAGGTGACGATGTGCAACGATCGATCGAGCTGCTGGACAAAGTGCTCTCCGAGTACGACGAGCACGAAACAGAGGGTGAAGGTGACGGTGGTGGAGACTGCAGCGGCGACGGCGACGGCGACGGCGACGACCAAGTCAACGGAGGCGGAGGCAGTGGAGGAGGCGGTGGAGGAGTCAGGGGCGTTGGAGACGTCGGGGATTGTGGAAGCAGCACAGAACCGAGTATCGGTCTCACGCCCGACGACGAGAGCCCGTCCTTAGGTATTTTTTCGTCCTTTTCCGCTTCCTTTTTCCTTCTAATTTACAGAGGTGTATTCATTCCTTTCGTTCGATTTAGAAATATCTAAATGGTCGAGGATAATTGTCGAAACGACGATGAAAGCGATTTAGAAAAAATTGATGAAAATCCCCGTCCAGCAACCGACACGACGAACGAATCGTTCGTCGGCGATACGTACTAGGTATACTTGGTGTACCTCTCGCTACCGAAACGCATAAATGATTCCACGTAGACTCGATTCTCCGTAAATACTTGTTTATCGATTGGAATCGGTTCTCGAAAGACGAGGCGACGGTCAGTCCGTGGGGAGAATGTCGACGAAAAACTGGCGATGCTCCCTCGGGGGTCACCCGAGGGCTCTACATCAAAGATGGACGAGGGTATTCGGACACAAAGAAAGAAAGAGAGATACAGCGATTTCAGCACGGAAAGCTTCCTCGAATTACCCGGTTAAAGCGAAATCTGTTTGTTTCTAACGAGATGTATACTGCTTCGTACCATAAAGTCGAATATTATTCTTTTCGATTGTTTTCTGTTTCCGACAGCATTCGCTGCTGATCTCGAATCGCGAGTCTACTAGAAAAACACTGATGGGCTAACGAGGCGCGTTGTGCCAACAGGACATCAATCCGAGGACGACGGTTACATGAGCATGAATGGACGGAAAGCAAAGATGGCCCTGGTAGCATTGCGTCCGGTTCCAGATTGTCCGGAGCCACAGGATCCCACGGGGTTGTCCACGCAAGAGTTTCCTCCGCCGCCCGAAGAAGCCGAGCGAATCATTTCCACCCTGTTACCGATGTAAGTTTACCCCCTTGTCGAAAGAGCGTGCTCTCGTTGCTCGAAACCCGAAATACGAAATTGCACGTTTTCAAACGAAAAGCAACTGCCTCCCGATTCTCCGCCAACTACAACAACCTCCTTAGAATAGTTTTATCTGAATATGATTCATTTTTCATTGGACGCTCGGGCGCGTTTATGTTGGACCAGCGACGATAGTGACGAATACACGATGTTTCGTTGTCAGGGTATCGCCAGGAAACTCGTCGAAAAGGAGCAGTCGTTCGTCGGATCGTCGGGGTGGGCGACAACCGTGGGTGATAGCTATGGAAGATAGCATACGCGAGGGAAGCGGTAGCGCGGTTACTACGCAAACAACACTCGTGAGTATACATATGTATTTTACTGTAGACAAAAGAGAATCGCTTCGACACGGTGGTCAAAGGGTATGTTGACGATATACGGGAATGATATTTTCACGCAGCCTAAGACGCGACATCAGAGGCCGTACGGTTGGAAGAATGGAAACGTCGAACCGTTGTTGAAGGCGACAGAACCGGCACCGAGTCCTCCGAGCAAATTCGCCAGTCTACCGTTCGATGGCAAGGTGTCGTTCGGTTGGATTCCACCACGGACTAACCCTACTGTCACCGAGAGGCATCGTGAGGTACGGCGTCATTCCTCCGAAGAAGACGAAGATGACGAGGACGAGGAAGAGGAGGTGGAAGAAGACGAGAACGACGACGACGACGACGACGACGACGACGACGACGACGACGACGACGACGATGACGACGACGACGACGACGACGACGACGACCAAGAAGAGGAGGAGAAGAGATACGAAGGATTTCAGAGAGACAGAAAGATTCATCGACAGAGCTTCGACAGAGAAAAAGATCGGGCGTCCCTTCTTCGGAAGCAGCGTCAGCACGAGATGATGAAATCGAGTAGCGTGGAGGACAGACTTCTCATGAATCACGGCCATCGGGTCGATCAACAACACGACAGGAGAAGAAACGACTCGGATTCGAGCGAGGGTAGATTCTCGCGAAATTCCGAGTCCGAGAGATCCTCTATTCCACGCTCGAGTTCGATCAGCGTTGAGAGGTTCTCGATGCGTGCAATATGCGACTCGTCCGATTTTTCCAGGGCCAACTCGACCTCGAACTCGAACGAGAGATTCCATTCGGATTTCTCGATAGCCGTTGCTAGCGCCAGCTCGAACGACCGTGTTTCCATGCCGACCTCCGATCCTTTCTCGATTCGAAACTTGGATTTCGTTTCGTTCTCTCTGCCGACCCGAGCGGATTCCAGCGAGAGGTTCTCGGCTCCAGCCTCGGACAGATGCTCCGAGGAGCGGTATTCCGACATGTTCTCGACCCGAAATTCGGACTTTTCTACGCGGAATTCGACCGATTTCAGAACACAATCCGAGGAGGAACGGTTTTCCGACGACTCGCTGGAGGAACTCCTGCCTCCACCCCCTCCTCCCCCTCCGCCTCCTCCTCCCATCAATAAGAGACACTCGATTGCCTGGGAAGTGTCATTGGAGGACGATCCTCTCTACGCCCCGGGAAGTACAAAAGTGGTCGGCAGAAGACGACGCAAGAGCAGCGACATGTCCAGTAAGTCCACTCGTCGATCCTCATTGCTCTTATTTAAAAGTACACGTACTCGTGTACTTTCCGCGCACTCGTTATTATCTTGTCGATCGACGCGTGTGTTTCAGGCGCTGGATCAGCATCGAAGCTGCGCGACTTGGACGACTGGCAGGATCAACGGCTCTCGACGACAGACGACGATTTGATCTCCCCGTATTCGGACTCGTCGACGAACGAGCTTGACCAGATAAGACCGCAAGATTTTACCAAGAACGGCACCTACGTGATACGTAGGGGCCGCAAGAGAGAACGGAAGGGATTACTAAAGGCTCCCACGAAAACCAGAAGCTTGTCTTTCGAGAACGGGGAGGAAACACGGCAACTGTCGGACGCGAAACGATACTCGAGCACCTTCGACAATATTAGAAGTTTACTCAGGGAAGGTAAACTTGAACCGGCCAGTGATCCGCCGGCGGAATTTGCATCGCTTGTTCCACCTGACCTGGTCCGAGTCGTCTCGCTTCCAGCTATCAACGACGAAATCGGAAATCGCGCGCAGCTGGAGGTGACGGTCGAGGAAGAAGAAACGTCGGACGTTTCGGACAAGGACAAGATTGCGCAGGATAGGGTTCAGCTTGTCGCTCGATTATCGCCCTCCCTCGAGGCACAATATCGAGCGAAAGTCGAGCAGGAGAGACTGAACCAGTGTAACAGAGTCACTATCACAACCTCGAAAAGTTGTTCGAACAACAGCTGGGTAAGCAACGACCAAGGTGGAATCGATAGTTGCGCCGCGAAGACGATCAGGGAACCGAGAAAACCATCGAAACCAAACACCAGTCTCGGCGATCACCGATCGTCGTCCAAGATTCCGGTGACTCTGTTGATCGAGGAGCAAATTGTGAAGAAAGCCTTGAAAGAGAATCGTCGACAATTGGAGAAAGTCAGCGATGCCATCAAGGAGATAGAGAGCGTGAAAAACAGCGAGTCATACCCGGAGGGGAAACAATGGAAGAATGGTGGGGACGCGAATCCGACGACGAGCAAGAGAAACAGCCTCGAAATCGAGTCGAATGAACGGAGGACGATCGATGTCGTTGCCGCGGTGGCTTGCGCGAGGAAGCTCAGCGACTCGGAAATCGATTCCGATCATTCTAAAGATAGCCCGGAGACGAACATCGACGGAAGCAGACTAAACAACGGAACGGACGTCCATGCTTCGGAGAGAAGATCGCGGCACAATGGTGTCGAGAGCCATAAGAACGATCAGAAACAAATCGAGAATGTGATCGATGCTATTCTCGAGGACTCGAAGAACCCGGAGTTTCAGGTAATGAGGGATTATCGCGTTCGCCATCGTTCACATTGTTGTATGCGGTGTTTTTCATAACACTTGAATAATAACTCTTTCAAGAAAACTGTCACGGAATTACGATCGATCGGAAATTTAAACGTGCAATTTTTAGGTAAGCGTCGAAGTTCTCGAATTTCCTCCGTTGCCACCATCGCCTGTCGAGGAGGCGGACGAAGAGAACTCGGACGTCGGGCAGAGCGGTGTAGTCACACCGAGACCTAAAACTCGAAACAGCAACCGTACGATGGAATACAGACCTAGAGTACCGCCGCATCGCGGACAAGTGGCCTGTCTCCCTTCGGATTCCAGGGATCATCAAGCGTCTCTAAACACACGATCCATGGACGCGGGATTCTCCCGGAGTAGACGCACGCACGGAACCGCTAACCCAAGACGAGAGGCGAGTGTCGAGTGTCGATTTCAGATATCTTTACCTATCTTCCTCGTAGCATTTTCTCTTCTTTGATATACATATGTATGTATCAGGGATGTGCGGATATCCGAAATCACAGGATTCCCGATCCCGAAATGTCGGGTAACCGCACACCCCTGGTATGCATACTCAGTAGAGCGAGCGAATATCAGTTTTCCAGTATTGCATTTGAATTCAATCGTTCGATTATTTGCGTTAGCAGCAAATACCCGCGGAACGAAGAACTCTACCCACTGACTTGCCCGGGCCGTCCCGACGACGACCGTTGACCAAGCGACATTCACCGTCGACGACAGAGCCGTGTTCCAGTTCCTCCGGTGGTGGCAACGGCCACGGTAACGGCAACGATAACTGTAACGATAACGGTAACGGTGGTATCGGTACCAGTGCCAGCATTGCAGGGAACGGAACCGGAAGTGCTGTCTACAGCAACAGCGGCGGGACTACTGGTAACATTTCGACAGGTTCCGGAATGCAAACATCCTGTTCGCTGCCGGAAACACCAGTTTTTGCCAGAGGAAACGACATACCGAGAACACCCCAGCACGCGAGTAATCCAACACAAACACGTCGACAGCCTGGTTGGTACGCTCCAACCACGGCTACCACTGGGTAAGACGACAAGACAAACATTTCTTTGGTTCGAATGCATTGAACCTGAATACAGCGTTGAGAACGAGAGACTTTACCATTGATACTCGCGAATTCTTATCCAATATGTAATAGACCGTCGGACGTCTTACAAAGTTAGTTATACGCGTTTCATCAAGGATACGTAATATGATTCGAAGCGAACGGTTTGAAAAATCCCGCTGCACCCATCGGATAGGTTCGGGCGTTGTCCGCGGCACGTAGCCGCGTGATTCTGCATTTGTACGCATGCGCATGCTTCCCGGTTCTCTAACGATTTCGAGCGACGAATATCTGTTGGCGGGTCGAATTAAACGCGCTTCGCTCGCAATCGTTGATTGAACCGTTTTGTAAAATCATGATTGATACGTATAAAATCGATACGACGAAATATGTATATGACTAATACACGTGTGTCGTGTGTTGGTGCGAACAACAACAACACAACAGGTATCGAAGAAACAATCCCGGTTTGGAGCAGGCGATAATCGGGACAGAGCTGCTACGACTGGCGGGCGGACCGAACCGCGGTTGGTACCCAACGAGGAAAGCGAATCAACCACGGCCGGCTTCGATCGAGCACCTCGAAAGGTTGAACAACGCGTACGACGCACGGTTAACCGTATCCGGGGATCAAAGGAAACCTCTGACCTTGCCGACAAACATCACACCGAACAAATACTTCGGCCAAAGTAAGCACAGCTCCGCCTCCAGCACTCGCGAGGCGCTACGGAGGGTCACTAGCTTGCTCATCAAGAAAGGTAAGCGCTGGAATTTGCGCTATTACGAGAGTTCGCGCGGTCACAATGACACACGAATACATCGTCCCTACGGAAGCTCGATGCGCTTTGCCAGGCTGCCTTGGTTTTCAACCGAATTTCCTTTGCTTCTCGAATAGCAACGTGTTTTCCGGTCCTGCACCCAAATCTTTTCGTGAACCGGAAAACACAATGCCTTCGTGATGCAAATGCGATATCGCGTTTGCAAACAAAAACATAGCCATGAACGATCTACGAATAATTTTAGTCTTCGATTCGATACGATGGCAATAAGACACGTGGGTAAAATCGTATTTTTGCGTAGCCGGCCCGGCGGTTTCACCGGATTCGTTGCGGTGACTGGAAAGCGCAACCGGAGTAGATAACGTTTGTCTTTAAGTCGCATGAATCGAATCGCGGGCCGTATTTCGTCGTCGTTTCTAAAGTCATCCGCATCGAGTTTTTCGACGGTGTGTGTGTGTGTGTGTGTGTGTGTCTACCGTTTCGGTAAACCTTTCGCGTCTCGTGACCTGTCGTGCGAAAAACATTTCCGAATTGTTTCTTGCGTGACCTTTCGTGGCACTTGAGCACCAGCAATTTACTTCTAGTTGTTCCAATTCTCGAATAGCTGAGCGATTTATGATTTCCGTTAGCTTCTTCGATGTCTCGTAAAATCCGTAAGGAAGAAACTGATTCTCGAACCAGTACTCATGTAGTTTCTTCCTTGCGACGATTTCTTAATGCTAATTAATGTTTGCTGTGAGTCGCTCTTAGTCAGTTGTAGTCGATATGTTTCATTTTTTTTATTCATTTTATTGTTTCTCTAATGTTTTTTCTTTTTCTTCTTTTTTTACATAGAATTTCGTTGCGATATTTTAAAATGCTTTGGCAAGCATGTAAAAATTGGTGCATGATTCGAAATTTATTCGAAAGCGCGCTCACAGGTTTATTCGTCTATCGAGTTTGGGTCGGCGAGGATAGATGGCGGCTCAGATCCAAAGAGTATAATATGTACATATGTATACCGCCGCGGCGCTCGAAAGCCCGCGGTTCAAGTTATCCTTCCAGTCAGGGAGAAACGCTGAAATACATTTGAAATTTACACGATTCCTCGGAAAAGGTAAATTGAGTTTTCGTTCGTAGTAGCAAACAATTATTGTCCGATTCTACGACGAGCTAGGTGTTTGCTGGATTTATGTGTTCAGTGTCGTCAACTGTCCCAAGTTACAAGAGTCGATGATTGTATTTGGTCTTGGAACGCGAAAGCTACCGTTCTTGAAAAATTCAAGGATTAACGGTCGAAGCGTGAGAAACAAGGCTGTCTGGTATATTTCCATGAGACAGCGTTCTTCTCCTTTCTTGTGTAGGTACTTGTATCGTCGCTACTGGTGTCTTTTGCTTGGGCTTGGAAAAAAATCGATGCGTGTGGGTCGGCGTACGGTTTTCGTCTGTCGACGATTCGAGCCATGAACTTTTCCAATAGCAATATCGTAACATGGTACGGTATTCGTCGATTTTTACTCGAACGATAGATTTTAGCGCAACCATCTACGATATCATTTCGCGCAGAGTGTGTCTCGCGAACGTTTCTAGGCGAGCATGGAATCGGTCGCGTCAGCGGCGAGGATGAAGCGCGGTGGTGGTTTGTCCGGATCAATACTCATCCACGCGGACAGGTACAGCAGCGTCGCTCGCCCTAACACGTCTGTCGTTTCGTCCTCTCGAATTTCCGGCAGTCGTTCAGAAAAATCGAAATCGATGCGTACCAATACGCGCACGATCCCTGTGCACGTTGAATCGCATCGTTTTCGATTATCTACATACATCTCGCGGCGAATAGCTATGAGTAGCATTTATCTTTTCGTCTGGTCATTCGAATCGAAATTCTTGTCCGAATATACGAGTTTAGCAAAAATACCGTATGCGAACACAAGGACAAACGGGTAATTAACCAACATCCCCTATTCCTATACTTTTAGGTCCTATCGCGTGCTACGATAGGCTCACCGATGAACGATAAAACTATGTAGACACAGACAGGACGGATTTCATCCGAACGTGAACAGAGAAGCAAAATGCGCGGATTTTACGGGTAAAGGCTCCCGGGTTCGAGTGAAAAACGGGATGGCGGAGGGGGAGGGGGTGGATAGACTTTGCTGAATGAGAGGTACTTACATATACGTATAGTCGAAAGGACGAGGAATGTTTTTGAGTCGGTTAGTCATATCGGTCGACTCGGTGGGTAGACTGGCAACGAACGGAGTGGAGACGCGGGTAAGCCGGAAGGGCACGGAAGGGGTGACTAGCGGGGGCTCGTTGCGCACACAAGGGGGTGGCTTGGCTGGCAATCGTTACTCCCGTCTGCTAGTCCGTCTAGCGAACTAGCAACCCTCCAGCCGCCCTTCAACCGCCCTGCCAAACCCGCTCGCATCACGGTCGATCGTTCATCGTCAGAGTCCTTCGACCCGTAGCATTTTCTAACACCAATCCACACGTTTCTTTCGTTTCTTTTTTTCGTTTTCAGTTGCTCGCATCCCTTCCTCGTCTTTGCCGACCGAAGACATTCTTATTCAAGCACACTCGTGGTCGTTTCGCGAAGCTCGCACCCACGCAGCAACCGAGAATTTTTCGTAGAAACCGCGACATCGTCGACGAGATATTTCTAATTATACCTTGGACTGCGAACGTGTTAGCACCCACGATGCCGCGACTCCACACGGACCTCGAATGAAACGGGGTGGGGGTTAATTGAGCAACGTTTAATTTTCGACTTTACGTGCGATTCGTTTTGCCTGTCCGCTATGGACAATAATTGAATAACTCCACGAAACGTCGCGTCGCGCATTCGATGCTGCGCTACCCATACGGTAATCCTACACTTGCGCCTCTGACGTGCATCATCAGCGGTGTAGCATTACGCTTCGTCGACCGAAGCGGTAACCTGCTTTGTCCATTTTTCTTGAGGCATTTCGAATTAAACGTTAAACGTTGTTCCGCGCCTACGGCATCTTAAAACACGAACAAGATACGCCGTCGTCCGGCTGGGTATCGATCGATGGTACTTTACTTTACTGTACTGTACCGTACCGTACCGTACCGTACCGTACTATACCGCCGTGTTAGCTGTCCTGTCCTACGGCCATGACCGAAGAGGCCTAGGGCGTAATTGATGAGACGCGAAAGAGTATCGTGGAACAGGCGCAATTTAGTATTTTTGGGGTCCGGCTATCTACCGCGAACGAATAAATCCGCTTGTGTCGGGTGGTAGAGAGGATATAGGGCGGGGAATAGAAGAGCATCCCGTTGGGGTTGATACGAGGCCGTGGATGTTTCGACGACAATTGAAAACGTCAGCTGGTTTCAGCATGTTGTATCGTTTGTCGAGACGCAACGGGACGAAACCTTCCGAACTGTTGGACACTCGAAAACTCACGTTTTCGCTGTGTCTGTTGCGCGACAGACACGAAATTTCCTGGTGACGAAAGTTTGCACGACGGATGCACGTTAGAGGGTACACGCATCGGTTGTTCGAGCAGGTATTTATTGATTTATCGGAGAGTGAACGATCACCTCCAACAACAAACGTCAGAGCACACGCGTCATTGTTCTCAGTCGCTCATGTCACTATCTTTGATCCCTGGTGTAGCGCGTATACACGAGACAGCTTCGGAAAATCCAAACCTACGGTCAATTTACAATGCTTTGTAATGGGTAATCGGTTTGAAATTTTGATAACGATTTTCACAGAGCCACCTGTGCACACAAGGTATTACGCGAGCTTAAGATAGATCGGTTTCGGCATATGATAATTTCTTCGTGTAAACGGTGCAAACGTATATTGTTGCTATTGCATCGCCTGGTTCTGGACGATCCTTTCTTCCTGAGAGAGTTGAGTCGCGACAAGACCGCAAGTTGGAGTGAACACGCGTTGGAGTTTATTATATTCCTGCTCGTCGAATAATATCCGCGAGAATCTAATAACGAACGTGTTGTCGACGATATTGGCATTACTCTAGCCAAGCACTATAACTCGGAGCAACTTTTATAATACAACTGCGATGGCATAGGGTGTACAAGTCTGTTACGGGAACGCATTCGTGAGTAATTACACATAGGCTCCAGGCATATAGGATGTCGCGTGCTCCGTCTCTCGAATCGTACGCGTGGTTTTGATCGTTTCAAGGTTATCGCGTATTCGTACGGTAACCTGGTATCTTGTATCGATTCGATCCTTTGAACGAATGATCGCGATAGAGAACTTTTCTTGGAATGTTTCAGGAAACGGAAGCAAGGATGGGAAAAGTGGAAAGGATACCACCGTGGCATCGTGTGGTCCTTACGCCGGTGAGTTTCATTTTATTCCTACTATCGTTCTATGATCATCGTGTAACGATCGATCGCGATATCACCGGAGAAAGAAATCACTAGGATAACAGGTCCTTGACGAATTAACGTCGAGCACCATGGCTTTTTACGATTCTCAGTTCAGTCGAACGTTATCGTGAGCGCGTAGCTTCGAAGGACTCGATATCCAGGTTGTTACGTTATGGACTATTTATAACAACGCGAGTTGCTCGAGTCGACATTAAGAAACGCATGAAATACATGTATCGAGACCGACGGTCCACGACCAAGGGCGAAAATAAATCGAATCCTACCGGAATACAGAGAAGCAGAGGGGCGGGGCGACGGCGACACGTTTGACACAATCGTTTTCTCTCAGTTTTGGTCTATTAAGGACAAGAGTAAAGGACGGTGGTACACAACGGAGCATCACGATCGGCCGAAATCTCTGTATCCGCGACCGAATTCAGTATATTGGCGTCGCCAATGATACGCGCAGGATAACTAACCAACTATAGAGTTGTAGCGTTCAAAAATATCCGTCCGTCTCCTCTTGCATCGAGGGCCCTACCCGGTGTGTTCGCCACGCTTCGCCTCGCCTCGCCTCGCCTCGCCTCGCCTCGCCTCGCCTCGCCTCGCCTAGTCTCTGATCTCTGTTTAACGAATCTATTAATATTCTCCGGTTATTTTCGGGCAACTACCGCTTACCAACTCTGAGAGAGGGGAGAGAGACCAATTCGAACTCGAACTTTTCATAGACCAACTTGCCGCGCTTTTACTCGTGAAAGTTACTCTCCCATGGACACGTACTTCATCGTGTATCATCGGTGATTCCGACACATCTCCCATCATTCGTTTGAGATTCCATTCGTAACGTAATTGTAAGTATTTACAACGGACCGACCGGACCGTCGTTCTGTTGTCGGTACCTAGGTAGTTTGAAATATCCGGATGCTGCGCACGCCAGAGATCAGACACGCCCAAGAGTCTGTGTCTCTACCGAGCGCTGTGTGGTCCCCGTGCTATCGGTGTTATCGATCCGCGTAAGCACCGTTCTCTCGCGTACACCCGTTCTATACCATTTCGCGGATTTCTCTCATCTTTTTTCCGTACATTTATTGGTCATCTACGAGCAGACGCACGCGCAGCTCCGAGCTCAGAACAGCTTACGAAAAAAAACAAGATCGACACCTACCCTTCGAACTTAGAAGGTAGATACCGGCGTTCTTCACCACACCCTGTACTGTCGCGTGTTACGAACGAGCCACAGTAGGTGTCACCATCGATTCGTCGCACATCCGTCTCGGATCAACGTGTGTAACGTTTTCGTTCCTTTTAACGTTAACGTGTGATCTCGCGAATCGAGCTTCCGACGGCACCGCGGCGGTCGACGTTCCTGTCGAATCGAACAAAGCCGGAAAGAGCACCGATTGTTATGCAGGTGGCAGACAATCGCTAACGCTTCCCCTATTAACATATATAGCCGAGAGTAAAAACGTGGCTAAAATACACGACAGGCTTCTCGGGCACAGTGTCGTCACGACATGCCTGGTGGGGACGTTTCTGAACTCGTCGACATTCGTTCGTGATGAAAAATCTGTTTAACCTAATAAACGTGCCAGGTGTAGGAGAATGCTGTGAACTTTCGGTTTCAGCCGCTGAATGCGGAGACGCGCCGAAGAAGAAGGGATTCTTCAAGGGTTTCTGGAAGAGATCGCGTCATTACTCGTTGGAAAACCAATAGCCCAGATGCGGTAGGATGACGGGCCAGCAGCAACGACAGAGACACGCGTCGAGACAACAGCACTGTTATCGACGACAACGCGGCGTCGCTACGAGCACACTGACAAACAGCCCTTGCTGCTGCATCGTTCAGTAATGTCGATCGCAACACGAGAGGCAGTGTTCCTTTCTCTGTTTCATCGACCTTTTCTTTTATTCGATCTGCAATAGTGACACGGACGACTGCGACTACGACTTCGATCCGATTCGACTCGACCTAACCCAGACCGTGACACAAACACCCCAAGACCCAGGACCTCGAGTTCAAGCAACTTTTACCATAATCACACGGGTAATCATCTTTCTGCGTAGTTCATGTTCCTGACTTTTCTATTTCTTCTTGCTTACTTTTCTCTATCGCTTTTACTCGATTTGCTTTCATTCGATTCCCATTTCGTTTCGCTCGCGCCACCTCTTGTGTTTCTCGTTCAAACTCGGGAACTGGAGAGAAGCAGTTCCTAATGTCGCCAAAACGCATCATCCATACTCGCGATTGGCTTCTCCTACTTTCGAGAAAAACACGGTATGACAGAAGCTTGCTCATCCGAGAGGCTATCTGATGTACGACGTGTGAAATAATCTGATCGAAAAGCGAAATGTTAAATCGGTTGTTTCGATTAAGTACTTGATTCACAGTACCACGAAAATACACTAAATATACTTATAGGACAACAGTCCTTAATTAAGAAATTAACGCAACTAATTAACGATCGTTCGGAATTGACGATCCAGTAAGTCGACGCCCAGCTCTGGGCATTTCTTTTCGTCTTCCTTTTGTACGCAACGGGATAAAAGTACGTTCTAGATAACGAGTAATAAAACATTAATTATCCTATATCTAAAGTATTCGAGTATTTTATACACGTAGTTGCAAGAGACGACGCGTCGTGATAACATAAGAAGCGTGTACTATCGTGGTCAAGTTATTCGCATCGTATGACTCGTAATTATCGGTGTGATTAGAATTTCCCGGAAACTTTCGTATTTATTTTCGTATCGCCGCGATTGTCGCTATTAATGATATTCTTCGTTGATTTATTTTTACTATTATTATTACTATTATTATTATTATTATTATTATTATTATTATTTAGTTTCTCTTCAGGGTTTTCCCTCTTTTTTACGGGTTAAAACCAAGTAAAATAGAGGTTCACTGAGTTCAATATAGGTTAATGGATTCATGAATTTTCTGACCACGTTGCATGTGTGTAGTATCACTGCTTTCTGGATGTTTGTGTGTATGGATAGATGTATGTTTATTTCGTGTAAATTTTCTGTGAATGCTGCTATATCCAGCGCCAGCTTCAGATATGACCTGACGATCCTCAAGTAGCGGTTCTTTTCCGAGGCTTCGTTCTCTTACTATTTTCATGGGTGTTTCCCTTTTGGTCACTTCATACGACAGGCAGGGACTACCATGAGTCTATTCTTCCCCGGGGCCCACACACGGTTTTTTTTATTATCTTTCACATTCCGTGTGGCAGCAATAGATGCACAGACAGCTATATCTATGTCTGAATTTCTTAAATACTGGCCACCACTTTGTGTGCTTTGATTTACCTTAGTCAGCAAATAAACTTCATTAACATGAAGTTCTCTCGCTAATGAAGGCATATCATCTTTACTGAAGCATGCACCAGCCAATGGAGTCAATAATTTATGCCCATCGGCATAAGCTAACCGGATTAGTATACTAAAGGTTTGCTGTACTATTAATCCAGCTTGTTTAATCGTCCGTATCATTGACCTACCTTCATTCTTAGGTACAAATTGCACATTGTCTTGCAATTATTATTATCATTATCATTATCATTATCATTATCATTATTATTATTATTGTTGCTGCTGTTGCTGCTGCTGTTGTTCCAATCTCTATTGGTACACGTACCAATACGTCAACCGTACATGTTTATACTCGTCGCTATTATTACTAATACTCTCGTCATCGTGATTATTATTATCATTATTATTTATTGTCATTTTTATTTATTGTCATTATTATCATCATCGTCGTCGTCGTCGTCGTCGTCGTCGTCGTCGTCGTCGTCGTCGTTGTTGTCGTTGTTGTTGTTGTTGTTGTTGTTGTTGTTGTTGTTTTTGCCACCGTCATTCTTCTGTTGTTGTTGTTGTTATCGTTGGCGTTGTTATGGTCGTTATTATAATTTTGCGGCACCTCGATAGTACTACCGCGAGATTTATACGCATACGTAAAGTATGTATGTACATACGCAGAAACGCAGTTACACGGAAGAAGTGTGCACAAACCCGACGAGCCATTATTACGAAATTGTAATAGCTATTATTATGATTCTACCGACTGATTGCTTACTACATATTATTATTGATAACACGTACACACAGAAACATATAGGTAAACAGACGGACAGAGGACAGACACACGATTGAGATTATACATATGTACATACATAACTACTCTTAAACGCAACCACTGGTGGCGTGATATCGATGGCACTAAATTGCAAAGTTATATTTACAATAAGTTTCGCTTTCTCACGTAAGTACGTTTATCTTGGATTCTTGACAAAGTCGATTGTACAGAGGAGCCGCTTGAATGCCAAAGACCTTCTCGATTGATGCGTGTCTTGTTCACCGCTGGACACTGTACAGAAATACAATTAATGTTTCTCACCGACCGCTAGATAAGTAGATCGAAGAAACAGTCGATCAGATCTACAATTATTTCGCGTAAATTCGTCCGAAAGGCCGAAATATAAATAGCTCTCGTTTCTTTCACCTTTGTGTATTAGCGAACCCATCGACAACGCGAGACCGTGCTATCGATTTTGTACAAAATACATATAATATTCCATGAAGAGGGAAACTGAATCGGAGACGCTGTAACATCGTACGGCTGCGGGAATAAATTTTGATAAATGCACGACATAACTATATACATATATACATATTTGCCACGATTGTATCAAGGTTTTGCAAAGCAAGGTTACGCGACCTAGCTTCAACGCGTCGTACAATAACTCCTGTAAATATGGAACGTTACGTGAAACGAACGCGAAAGCGAAAGGGTATCGAAGCTGTCCCGTAATCTCTCTCCCGCGATAGGAGATGCCGTCGGGACAGCATGAATGGGCATTCGTATACATAGATAGATCGTTGGCGACACCGGGTTACAACTTTGCAAAACAGAACACTCGAACGGGGTGTTTTAATATGCGTTCTGGTGTTTAGTAAAGCGTCACACCATTCCTTCCGGATGAAAGACCGACTTGAAAAACACAGTGGTTGTCCAATAAAGGGTAATACAACTGAACTCCAATGCCAATTAAATGTACCTCCGTAAAAGTAACCGTCGTCAAAGATGGTGTACTCGTTTTATGCATGCCTATCGTACACGTACACACACGCACACATCTAACGCAGTCTTCTATCTTGTGACCGACCATACAAACTCTCCATAAACGGACAAGTAGAGCATCGAGTTTTTTTTTTTTTCAACAGAAACATCATCGAATCTCCGGAGATTGATTGTACGCGACGGGAATAGCGAGGGGGGGGGGGAAGAAAAGTCGTGTTGCACTTGGAGACACTTGATTATATACTAAATAATTGTGATCGCGAACAACTGATTCTATGTTTGCGACTAAGGGAAAAACATGAAAACGAATAAACGATAAAGAGACGAAGGGTAAAATAATGAAGTCGTAATAACGTTTCCGAAACTGTGTATGCCTTACAAAATACAAAATATTCACGCGAGAAAGAAAGATCTGAGTTGCACGTATCGACGAGAAAAAAAACGTCTCCTCGGGTTTATTGGCGGGTACCCTATCTTCCGTACAAGTATCGATATATAATAATATAGATACGTACAGTCGAAAGGAAGAAGGAAGGGGAGTAGGAGGAGAAGGAGATAGAAAGAATGCCTTTTTCAAAGAAGAAACGATTCGTCTGCGGGTAAGAGAATAATGTCGACAATCAACGATGAATTAGGTACGACTCGTCCCCAAGCGTCTCGTTTCCGAGCGAAATAACGAACGAAACGAACCGCACGACATCGTTTCGAATGTTTGTCGCCATGTAACTTATTTTTTTAATCCTAGTCAATGCGTTTCGAATTAACATGAACCGTAACATGAAATCGCCGTTTGATATCATTCGAATGAAGCCGCCGCCGCCGCCGCGTTGCGTCAGTTACACGCGCTGAAAAGTTGCGAGCATCATCGGTATTACATACAATACATACTACTTACCAGTACGGTATTTGTCACGTGCTCATCATTTGCCGTTTGCCTAACAAATTATAATATCTATAACGTTGACGAATAAACCGAGAATGGTGCGAGACTCGCGTGCGTCGCTTTATAAACAATAAATAGTATTTAATCGATCGCAATACATGAAATATATCTCGACGTCGCTGGCATTGGGTAGCTGCACGTCGTTTGTACTTACTTTTTCTTCCAGAAGTGGTACAATGCGAACCGAGATTAAGCCTGGATACAGCGACGAGCGAACAACCCGTGTATTCGACAAAAATTTCTTAGTATACATAGTTGTACGATATAACGGGTAGAGACAAGGGTAAGGGTATACAAGAAACAACACACGGTTTAACAAACAAGTCCCAGTGGCGGAGAGGTTTTAGTACAAAGTCGATAGCTTTACTTCACTTTGAAGAAAAAGAAAAAGAGGAAGAAGAAGGTGAAGAAGAAGATGATGATGATGATGATGATGATGATAGTATCGGAGAAAGAGGAACAGAGGGAAAGGAAGTAAGAGGATGAAGAGAAACATGATTTTCTTGTATGATACGCATTGCATGTGTAAACTGTATCGCGTATGATTTTCCGCATGCTTCATCCAAGGATTAGGATGGATCGAGCACCCAATTAAAATCGGTGCCAATGTCGACGATATATCGCGCTGATCAGTTAGTAATTTAATACTATAAACTGCATCGAAACTCTCGATTAAGTTGTCTCTGCTGTGTGTGTCGGCCTGCGGGTGTGCCATGACCTGGTCAAAATATGCGTGCCTAATGCATCGTTAACGGCATATCGATCCCATTTTTTCTTTAGAGACGTTTCTCGCGCATCGAGACAGAAAGAAATCGATCGATGATTTTCAATGAACCGGGAGATACATACCGCGAGACATGATCGAAAAAGGCGACTTTAACGTGTGCACGGATAGAAAATGCGAAAAGTGAACATTTTATTCGCTACCTTTAGAAATAACATTTTCTTAGAGTGAAATCAGTGCGAGTAAGTGAGAGCGATTTTTATGTAAATCTTCTCCATAATTTTGTAAAGAATTTTATTTCACGTTTTAATCTACCAATAAATGAAATGAAAATTTATATTACGCGTACGACAATTCGTAATGCAATTGTCGTGCATTTCAGCTTTCCATATATATATTCGGTATAGCTATTTGTCAGGTAAGTAAGTACAAATGATTTCTTTCAATTTAAACAAACAACCGTTCACGGAGAGATGGATTGTTCTTTTGGGTGGTAACTGGCACAAGATCGCTTTGTTGCCGGTAAAAAAAGGAAAAAAAAAACACATCCGGAAACGGAAAAGAGGTCCATATTTATCAGGAACTGGACGCGACCGCGACATCCGGTTGTTATACACAAAGAATTTAGTTTTGATGTTTACTTACGAGTATGTATGACTATTGAGAACACGGTGTATTCGGATGAAAATAAAGGCCTTGTTGCACCGCTTTATACAAATTTATTATTATTTTAGACATTCGTTAGTTATTCGTACTATTCCGAAATTATTATCGACATGTGTAAAAGGGAACACGTTGAAAGGAAAGTATCGTATGCTGCCTTACAAATGTTATATATCTAATATTTCAGCCGATACAAATATTACTACTCACCCCTTCTCAATAACATTCGCCAGGTCGGATAATTGATTCAAAAGATTCGACATAGTCAAGTACGTCGTCGCGATCGGAAAATGATTGGTACATTGGTGATGCAAGTATTTGGACGACGCTTAAAGATTACATTTGATTACAATTATTATTTCAATGTTTATTCCTTTCTTTTATCAATAAAAATCGTTACATAGTAGTTTGGGTAGCTGCTTGACGTCAAACGAATCGCCAAACAACCAGTTATATTAATAGTAGTAGCAGTAGTATTACAGTAATAATAAGTGGTAGCGGCATCGTGTCGTGTGTGTGTATGTATGTATGTATGTATGTATGTATGAATGTGTACGTATGTGTCCAACTACATATGAATAGTATTTAGATGTGTATCATGATCGAGAGTACACGAATCGGAAAGAGGAACGTCCTCACTGCGCGAAAGATTCTCGCGTTGTTGTTCTTCTGAATCTGCTTTTTCGCCGCTGTTACGTTTTTTCTTTCTACTTTTCTTTTTCTATTACATCATATAGAATCGGTAATCGATGATTATTATGGGATAGCTGAAATCGGATGTACTGAAACGAAAAAGAAAACGCGTGTTAAGTGAAACAAACATAACGAAACATGTTTACAGGTGTTTCCAATTACGACATTTTTCTAATTATCGAACCAAGGTAAAAATCGTTTATCAACTTCTACAGTGTCGTGTGTATGTGTATGTCCTTTGTTGGTATGCATGTCGGCGCGCTCGCGCGTATGCCATATTTGTTTGTTTTATGTTTTGTTTGTATAAAGTATGAGTGTCTGTGTGTACTTATGTATACCATTCCGGTGTACGTCTTGCGATTCGCATCCCTCCTATGACGAATCTTCCCACTTTCCACTTCTCCCTTTTATCGATAAAAGTCTCAGCAATTATGACACATTGTTCGCCGTTTTTATTCTTCTTACATATAGCAGTAATAAAGACAGTAAATAGCTAAAAGGACTGTATCGATTTTGGGGGGGGAGGGGGGAGGTGGCCAGGACTGCGGCCAATCCGTGCCGTTTCACCTGCTGCCGCACGCTCGCCTGCCTCGTTAATTGTCATCGTAGTTCTGTCGGCATTACATATCTCTATCGCGCATTCACGCGCATTTCCGAACGCTCTCTCTCCTTTTCGTTCTCTTCGGCATTCTACATGTTGATTCATTTGCCTTCGTTCCCCTTCCTTCTGTGTTATGCGTCTGCCTCCCCCTTTTTCTATTGCTCGTTCTTTCAGTCTCTCAAACTGCCTCAGAACGTTGTTCCACTTTTACGCCCGTGTTCAAACTTTGATTTTCCATTCTTTTTCGTACCTATTCTTTCATTCGCTCTCTCTATCGTTCCCTTTCTCTCCCTCTCTCTCGCCCGTTCTCTTTCTTTCTCTCCCTCTCACTCCCTCTCTCCCTCTCATCCGTTCATTCTCTACAAGAAAGAAACTGTAAACCTAACGCAATAGTTTATTACTTATTATTGTTATTTCTTATGTTTAATGCATGCTTGTGGGATCTTCTCCATCGGCGAACCGACGCTCGCTCGTGTAAAAAAAAAAAACAAACAAAAAAAACGATACGGTCGTTTCCCTGCATTGTTACGTGATTAATATACCTTTCTTATGTCGTTGCGTGTATCGTACGCGCGTCATGCGACTGTGTGTATGTATATAATATATACGCGTGTGCGTGGGTGGGTGGGTGCGCGTATATCTGTATATGTTTTTTGAGTTCTGTATGTATTTGTGCGCGCGCGCGCGTTACCGCGCTGAATCGCAATTCGATATTCGGTCGTCCGGTAACGCAACGATTTTTTCCTTTTCCTCGACATTTTCTTCACATCTTTCCCTTCTTTCCATTCTTCTTCTACCGTCGCGTTTCTTGCAGAGAAAACGATCGAGCAATGTTAAAAATTGTGTCGTTGTTCACAAATGAAACGGAAAGAGAAAAAAGACGGGTGCGGAAATACGAAGAGACGAACGCTACCTCGGTCCATCTGTCGCGGTTACGCATACAACTATCGTCGCATGGTCGTATCACAAATTTACGTACGGATTACACATGTTCAGAGATCATGCACGCGTTTGTTCCCGGATATCGCGTCTAATCGAAGAGGAGAGAATGACGACTATAGTATGATAACGATAACTGTTGCTGTTTCTTTTCTTTCTTTTTGTTGTTGTTGTTGTTGTTGTTGTTGTTGTTGTTGTTGTTGTTGTTGTTGAGGGTAGTTGTTGCTTCTCACAGAGTGTTGCGCGCGGCAAGCTTGCGGCAGTTCCGGCGCGACACGAGCGGTATGACGCATTCCATTCGCTGTTCAGTAAAATAATCGATCGTATCGTTTAATATTAATATTAGATATTTGTGTTGGGTCCCAGAGGTTACTGAAACAGAAAAGAAAAACAAGCACACGCTCAGCGTTAGGTATTTACACATATATAAAAATAAAGGTGTGACCCGCGAAGAAGTGGCAGGGAAATAAGTAACAAACGAGCAGCAAGGTATCGCCGCATCACCGGCTTTGTCGTCTGCCTTGTCTAGAAAGCTACCGAAGGGAAATAAGTATTTGTCCGTGATTCGAGGCGACTGCAAACGTATTGCCGACGGATTAGTCATCGCGACCAGCCGATATCGGGTCCCCAAGAGCGAGCGGAGCAACCAACTGATATTATGCGCACGCGAATGACTGCTTGCTCGAACGTGATACGTGATAGGCGATACCGCGATGCGCTTGAAATCACTTACTTCGATTCGGCTGCACGGTTCGAATCTCTCGTCGGAGAAACTACCGCAACAAAGGCGGAAAAACGATGAGAACGGTCGGAACATTCTGTCGATGCGTTTCCTTCCGATACATCGCGACTATTGCTGAGCCGTGCTCGTGCGACAAACACCGTTTGTTACGCTCGTTTACGTACGTATCATCCAACCTAAAAGCCGCAGGATACAAGGTAGTCGCCAAGTTTTTCAACGACCGACGCGGCTTGCTGTGGTTGTATAGGGTCTTCGTAGAGGGAGACGACTACGGCCTGCGTCGTCTTCATGCAGTGGACGCCGACCTTGCCGAGTTTTGCCCTTATCACTCGATCCGTGCCCGACAGGTAAATGTACCTGTTGCCGGCCAAGGTAACGCCAGACGACGTCAGAATGTCCTGCTCGTCGAATCCCTGGACCAATTTCGCCAGCTCCTCTTTACTTACCTACACAGACACACAAATACCATTTTCACATGTTTTCTTTCTTTCGAACAAAATATACCGTGTAATATAGTCGGACATTTCTCTACTGACTTCAAGGCGATGTCTATGTAGCTACAGCTATGTCTTTGTACTTTACTCGTTTTTGCATTCTCAATGTTCCTAACCATACTGATGTCTCTTTCAGTATAAATCTTTAAAACACCAATGAATCGAGAAGGTACAAGAAATCCAGCATTCTCGCTGTTTCGCTTCGTTTTGACAAAGATATTGGAGAGGATGCGTATACGGGAACATGATATCTGTTCGCTCGGTTATCGATAGCTCCTTGCTGAAGCGATAAGAACAAAATTATTCAACGTCTCCTGGCTTCGAAGCAAACGGAAAAGGATAAAGGCGCGACTGCGCAAACTTGCAGGAATCGTGTATGTCCACACATACATCTATTCGGAACGATATTCATAATGCTGTCTTGTTCTAGATCATCGAAAACACAGCTCCAATTTTGTTGTCAACTCGTCAAAGGATGCGATCAGCGATCATCCTGCCAGCTGTATAAAGATCGTGTCAACCCGCATGAAAGGACTCTTATCAAAGACCGCTCTAAACACGACCTCTTTCCTGTCATGTACCAGCGGTCGAACGGAGGACGGACAAAAAAAGATCGAGTGTCTTTGCTCTCGTATAGGAATTCTCACTAACTTTGTACAACGGTACGCCCATCTCGAGAATATATATTCAACGTTAAAATCGCAAGAGCAGAGAATAACTAATAACGTCGATTTTGGCCAATGAAGGTCATGCACAAGCCGTGACTCATTAATTTCAAGTACGAACTAGTAGACCAGCTCAAGAATTCACATCGGCCGCAAGTTACAACGCTTTGGAACGAATCCGCAGCACTGACTAATCGACGAGTATGACGATGAATCAGCCCACGATATATAGAATCTCAGTCCTTCGACTCTTCGTGTTCTACGTTACCCAAGTACCGAAATACTGCAATTCCGAAAATACCGTGAAAGTTACGTGATCGTAGAGGCTAAAAGTGATCATCGAATCTCTCTTTCTTCATGCGGGGAAGATTCACGAGAAATGAACTTTTCAACGTCAAGTACAGAACTATACAAGTCGACGCACTGTTAAAAATCCGATTAAAGCATGTGCTGGTGGGTCGCGGTCGGTCGGTCGGTCGGTCAGATGATCGGTTAGTCAGTCAGCCGGCCGGCATCGCCATTTTGGCATTCGTAACCGGAAAGCGCGTGCACGACATGGAGCACGCACAACGCATACTGCAGCTGCCGATCTTTACACCTCCAACATTTTTTCGTCGTATTATGTATGTCAAAATTCAGGACATTTCTCTAGTTTGCTTTTTGACATACACACGCACACACGCGCGCACGCAGCACATCGAGAGAAGACAGGAGAGCTACGAATTCGCTGAAATTGTACGTTATCACGTACAAAGATTGCTCTTATATCCTTTTGCGTTGAAAAACTTTTCATATTATTACATAACTGACCACTCGTTAGTTAGTTTTATAAAACATCGACTAATTCTTTTCATCATACGTAATGTATGTATGTATGTATGTATGTACGTAAACCGAATCGAAATGTATGTTTCAGAGTATTTACCGACGCGAGGCGCAACAGCTTTTTATGTTTAGCACGGATGGCGCAGCGATCGAGTTAAACCTTTCTGGAACTGTCGGTTTTGCAATTTTAAACGACATAGCCTTACTCACATGAGTCTCACATCGTTTTGCCGAAAACGGAGTAACGAATTAAACACTTGATACTGGTGTAACACATTAGTCAACTACCGAGTTATTCACATTTGAAAATCTTGCGCGTATCGTATCGTATTATGTATATATGGATAGAGTAAGTTTTCTTTCGCTTTTGCCATTTGTCATAAAAGAATGTAACCTAACGATAGGAAGGAAAGTTGTACGTATCGCATGTAGATGACTATAAGCGTCTCTCTCGGTAACAGAAAACTTCCAAAAATATGAGTCATCCATCCCAGACAAAGCTTCTACTTTTCGACAGCTTTCTTCGCTGGAAATATCGAGCATCGACCACCAAACATCGTGAATCTACTGATAATCACGACCCTGAATTTTACAAACACAGCCGGAAAGAACAAGAGCCACCATTTCCATAAGAAGCAGGAGAAGCGACAACGTGCCTGGCAGGCAGCCATGTTAAACTTTGTCGAAAACCGTTCAACTTCGACTAGGCAAAATTTTCTGTGGTGAATAATGCCACACCCAATTTCGCCGAGGAATAATACATTTGGCGGAAAGATGGATTTCTTAGGTATATCTGAAAGAACGAAATCCATTCGATTAACAACTCGTGATAAACTCTTCGATTGAACGAGAAATTTATACGATTTAACCGCAATGATCGATCCTCCTATCGAACACGTCTGCCCGATAGAGAGAGAATTTCACTGGTGAATTTTCGATGAAGAGAGGGACATCCAACCGGTTGCTCGCTATTAAGTCAGAAAACTATATTCGTCCGTTTAGCCTTTTCAATGCTATACGTTCCAACCGGCTTCTGCAGCACGAGGCAGAATCGCGCCGGTTCTAGATGCGGAACACACCGAAGGATTTTTCAAGCATTTCATCGAACCCAAGGATTTGTCGCTGTTTCGGGAAAGTAAGACGCGCGAATGGCTACGTGGCACCATTTTTTTGACGATGAAACCGACCATACTTGTCGTTGCTCATAAAATACGTTTGGATCTCTACCATCGACAACTATACATTTGTTCCGCTACGTTCCGATTTCAACAATTTCATCGCTCGTTCCCCCCCAACCAACAAACTCCAAATATCTTAGAGTACATTTATACGCACGCACGCACACACACACACCACGCACGCACACGCATACATGCACGATGGATGATGTATAAATACGTGTGTATGTAGTTTATTCGCGCGATAAAGAAAGATGTTCGATGATGTCCACCAGCCACAGCGAACAACAAAGAAGGAAGGTGGAGAAGAGCGATGCGTTTACGTGTTTTTTTACGTGTATTCAGCGGATACTTTTCTTCTTGCTAGATACCTAGTAACGGCGGTGATAACGATGCTAGCAATGAATAATGCTAATAACAGTAATGGTAATGATAATAAGAATAGTAACAGGAGTAACATGATAGGCAATAATATAAGCTTCCGAAGCGTTAGTCGGTCCAGATAGAACGATTACTCACTTCGAAACCTTCAGACTTCGCCCAAAGATTGCCATCGTGTCCCGCGATTGCAGCTTTGGTAACACACCTAGACGCGAGCAGCTGCTTGTCAACGTAATCCTGCCAGCTCATTTTTTAACACAAGCGATTTGACCGAACTGTTCACTACAGCACTAGAGACACAACCCGTCACCGACTGACTTCTCTCACGACTACCAACGACTACCTATATGCGTTCAACGCCGGTCACACTTCTCTTTTACCCCTCCTTATCCCTTCGCGGTTATTCGTAGCCCCTCTTGGCCTCTCTTCGTTTCTCCTTGTCCCCCGAAACCCTGGTATCCAGTGATCACGTCCTCCCCACTTTTGATAGCAGCACGGTAATTGACTACCGACCAGTTCTACCAACCCTTGCAACAATCGAAACTACCTACCGACTATTATAAAGTTTAAGGATATACATATACCCGATCTTGATCGATCATAGGGTATATAAACCTGTTATTTTGCTTGGAAAAGATGCTCTTTCTATTTTCATATACACTCCTTTCTCAACGTTCAGTTAAACTGCTATGTATATACATAAATTGTATTACACAAGCGTTTCTTCTAGTGATTTTCATGTTTATTAATTTAAGATTTAAAGCTGTAATTGTGGCGACCTCTACAATAGGGACAATAATAGTACGGTAACACAAGTAATAGTTGGTAATAGTTGGTAATAGTTACTTCTGCAACTTCTTCCACGTGCTTTCCTGTTGACAGTTTATGTTTCCAAGTGATGTGACCAAAGTTTTCGTACCTACATAATAAGTATATTCTTAGCCACAATGCAAGTTTCTTGTCCAAACAACGTAAAAATTTATAATCTGAGCGCCGGAAAATCTCTTCCAGAGGTAAACGTTTATTTACTACGTTTATTGTATACTATTATCGTACCAATGTGAATAATTTTTATTATTTCAACAGTGGTTATCAGAACGTAAAAGACGAAGCTTATTAAAAAAGAATGTCGGTAAGTATCATTGTTTTCTGGTTACAATTGTACGTAAAGAGTGTATAAATGATTATAATGCTGTCCCAACAGATATACGACGTCGTATCGAGCTTATTCAGGACTTCGACATGCCCGGAGTTAGCACGTCGATTAAAGTTTCGAAAGATGGACAGTACATTTTAACGACAGGCATATATAAACCACGTGTAAAGTGTTTCGACGTCAAAAATTTGTCTTTGAAGTTTGAAAGATGTTTTGATTCAGAGGTTGTTACTTTCGATACGCTTTCAGATGATTATAGCAAGGTACTTAGATCTATATTTTTTGGATGTGCTCATTCCTATAGTTGTGACAGGTGATATGTTGTATCGTTGTGTTTCAGTTGGTTTTCTTACATTGCGATCGAACTATTGAGTTTCATGTTGCTCATGGCAAGTATTATAGGCTGAGGGTACCTCGTTTTGGAAGAGACTTGAAGTATCATTATCCTTCTTGTGATATTTTTGTAGTGGGAGATAGGTTTGTTGTTTAGTATTTTTACCTATAAACGTTCTTCCTATAAGACATAATTTGAGACCGATAACCCGGCGTATCAGTCCTGAGTATTTCCTCCGACTGGCCTGTGACTCGGCATGTGGGTCACGTTCTGACTACATAAACATTGATGGTTTCAGATAATAGCTTTGTTAATAATACATCGGTCTCGAATGAGACAATAATCCTACATAAATTGTGCTATATTTACTAGCATGTATTCTGTTGCAGTAACGAAATTTATAGAGTAAATCTTGAGAGAGGGCAGTTTTTGCAACCTTTCATGACAGATGCTTCATCGATAAATAAATGCGAAATAAATCCAGCACATCATCTTGTTGTTGTCGGAACTCAAGAGGGAAAAATTGAAGCATGGGATCCACGAACAAGAAGCAAAGCAGCTACCTTAGATTGTGCTGTGTACTGCGTTGGACAAGACAATAAGTATGACACTTTACTATATGTATAAACTGCTGTATTAAAAATCACTTTTTCTTCTTTCAACTAACATCTATAGTAACTGTTTTCCGATTGATTAGAGTACAGGCTGTTCCTGGTATTACTAGCTTGAAGTTTCAAGGTGGGTTAACACTTGGTGTTGGTACCTCAACTGGACAGGTACTGTTATACGACATTCGTTCGAGCAAGCCTTTTCTAACAAAGGATCACATGTATAGATTACCAATCAAGAATGTAGAATTCCATCGGACAATGGATCTAGTTTATTCTATGGATAGTTCTATTGTGAAAATATGGGATAAAGATAGTGTAAGTAGATTAAAGACATACACTAACTCGAGGTAAAGATAAATGAAGATAACAAATCTTTTAATATCTAGGGTAAATTGTACACGTCTATAGAGGCACAAAATGACTTTAACGACATGTGCGTTGTACCAAATACTGGAATGGTTTTAATTGCTAATGAAAGTACTAAAATGCAAACCTATTATATTCCTGCTCTTGGACCAGCTCCTTATTGGTGTAGCTTCTTGGACAGTTTAACGGAAGAATTAGAAGAATTAAACTATGAAACTATCTATGATGATTATAAATTTCTTACTGAGAAAGAATTGGATGAATTGGGTCTGTCGCATTTAAAGGGCACTAATTTACTTAGGGCCTACATGCATGGATACTTCATCGACATTCGACTCTACAAGAAGGCACGAGATGTGATGAAACCGTTCGAATTCGAAGAGTACAAGAAAAAGAGAATTCAGCAGAAAATACAGGAAACCTGTGGCAGCAGAGTGCAGGTATCACGGATTTCGTAGTCTTATTATTTGAAATTATACAACGTAGCAATATTTTCCGTACTTTCTTATCTTTACCAATAGGTTCATAAAGTACCGAGTGTAAATAAGGAGCTTGCCTTGAAACTAATGGACGATGAAGTGAATGTAAAGAAAAAGAAGAAAAACGCTTCCAATATTCTAACAGACGACCGTTTCAAGGCACTGTTCAGTAATCCTGACTTTGAAGTGGATAAAGACTCGCAGGAGTATTCTTTGTTAAATCCTGTTATTTCTCAGCTGGATAAAGGTAGAATAAAAAAAATGAAACAGAAATTAATCCAAGCAGAAGTACAACAAACTATGGAAATTGAAAGTGACAAGAATCAAGGTTGTTTTTATGTGATATATATTTTTTCGGTATCTTATTTTGTATAATTATACGAATATATTTATATCTTCAGATAACAGTTCAGACGAAAGTTTCATTCACGATGATAGTAGTAGTTCAGAGGATGAAAAACCATGGGTTAAGGAAGTAAAGAAACAATATCGGTTAATACGGAAGAATGAAAGACAAAACGAAGAAAATGACGCAAGCGAGGTAAATAATGATCAGGATGTAAGAAGTCGTACAAAGCTTTACGAAATCAGGGATGATAATGTCGAATTTAGAGACGCAAAACCGATATCAAAGCGGCAAAATAAGTATGTTTATATTATTACTCAATTGCAAAGAAAGAGTAATACCTAAATTATTCTTCTGGATACGTGTATTTTTATAGAGCTACTTTGGGAGACAGATTAAAAAATCAAGGGATTCACGATGTTAGAGATTCTAGTTCTCGTGGCAATAGAGAAATGACTTTTGCCGTGGAAAAGGTATGCTTTTATTGTGCGTATTTAATATGGTTCCTGTATACAGAAATGCATGTCTCTTTATAGAAAATGTCGACTGGACGCAGAAAACTGCAAGTAAAGAGGCACGAGAAAGAATATAAACATCTTTTAAGGCCAGCAGGAAATCTGTATAGGAAAAGACGCTAACAATTATTGTTGTATCAACGATATATATATATATATATATATTTTTTTTTTAAGTAGTAAACAATCTTGTTCTCTAAAGTGAATTCTATTATGTATGCTCATTTTGTAGTATAGGAAACGGTCGTCTCCTCTACTTTCCCAATGTCCTGTATTAGAAGTTGCTTACAGCACCAGTAAAATAATTCGCATTGCGGCGATGTGTGCGTGTGTATAATCTTGACAGAGGTGAAGTGTCATCTCAAAAGGCTGATATAATTTCAATTCATACGTTAGGGTGAATCACATACAAGGTGTCGATACAAATGTTTTCTTTTCAAGTTCAAAAGCATTGTGTTCGTCTGTCGAGAAAAATGACACTGGTAAGTCTAACGATCTACTAATCTAACTATATTACTAATTAAGCATTTACTTTCTCAACGGTGTATCGTTTATTGCGTTACTGTGTGTCGATGGTATCGAAAATTTCAACGATAAGTACTACAAATTTGTACACATAATACCGAATTTTAATGTCAGGAAACATTGGTTACGTGTATTTACATTGAGATTTTATTATCATACTTATATTTGTAACGATCACTGTTTATTTTGATTTTGAAGGTTCATCTGTTACAGTCACATGAGTTTGAAAATTGACCGCCCCTGTCACATTTCACGATTACATTTTTGTTTTGGTTTTTGATGGATTTAAAAATTATAATCGATAACAGTGTAAATTCATTCGTCCAAGTTGTCATAACAATAATAATAATATTGTGCTAGTTCATATTCTTACGGACTTATGAAAGAAAGTTAAAAGTATTACTTTTTTGTAGGCAAGCTCGAACAATGAATCGAAAAATGGGAAAGATCCTCCACAGCAGAATCACGATGAAACAACACAGGCATCTACACCATCTGGATTATCAGATTTGCAAATGCAAAGTACAGAAGTAAGAAGATGTAATTTTTGTTTATATTTCTCTTTGTGCATAACTATTTGCGACAGATACATTAAGAATAATTTTGATTAAAACAGGTAGGTGAAATCACGGAGATGCCAGACTTTGAGATGCTAAGTACATCTGCAGTTCTTCATTATTGCAAGCATAAGATATTAAGGCCATATCTCAGGTTATTAGGAGTAATGGGATTGAGACCAATGAGCAGTGATGATTCTGATCGTTTCTCTCGTTATTGTATTTTCGTGAATTTTCATACATTTCAAGTAACTGTATTCATATGCATTGGGTATATCCTACAATACATGGCGTGTTTCAGGTATAACGTTAAATTATATTTATCACATTATTCTCATTTTATTATAGTACGATTCTAACAATGTATAATTGTTCTTTCAGGAGGGACCGTGGATTCTGCTATAAGGCATTGCCATTAGATATTCAGATTTCATCAAATAAAAGTGTAGAACGAGTACACGAAGTTGGTTGTTTTGGAAATACTGTGTTCAGTTATTTTATTCCTAGTATATTACATTTGATTGCATATTTATACACAGTATATCTGTTTCGTATTAAAGAGAACGAACAGCTACAAAATTTAATGGAGAGAGCATTTCTTCTCTCCTCTAATCCTGTGAATCGTGGAAATCAAAGGAAACTTGTTCAAATACTGTGGTTATTTATAGCATTAAGCGTCGTTTGGATAATTATGGCTTTGATTACAGTTAATGTTTTGATGGCCCAAGGAAACATTGAATTTCAGTGGCTGGAAGACAGGTAATTGTGCATGTTTTTTTTAGTATATTTCTTTCGAATCATTTTATAATATTTAATTTTCCTGATGTTATTTGTTGTTGCCACTGTTGCTTTCCAGTTATTATTAAATTACAATTATTTCGATATTGCAAGATGTCTGACTTATAATGTCTACACGCACATTGCATTATGTTGCATTGTTTTCAAACTTATTTTTTGCACAGTGCATATCAAGTAAAAATAACACTGAAGGTATTTCTAATCGTATGTACATTGTGGCACGATATGGTTCAAGGAACGATTATAACCAGTTATTGCTTACAAGGGCAACTTTTATTGGCACATCTGTACTTTCTTCGTGGGAAATTGCTTCATCATACTTTACCTCCTATCGACTGGATGAGGGTTTGTCAAATTCAAGTCCATACGATTCTCTAAGCTTAAAAGCGCAAATTACAGTTATATTGGTTTCCTTATATGTTATAGGAGATTTGTGAATTTAAAAAATTATTGAAATATTTCAATGACGAACTAGGGCCAGCCGTGTGCATATACACAGTTGTAAACTTATCATGGGCTGCAGCAGGCACAATCTGGTTGCTCCAGTACGATGACAATCAGGTGCAACATAATCCTATTACTTGGATTGGTATAGGGAATGTTCTTCTGTGGATGTTAATATCGGTGGCTCCGTTTGTTCAGGTATGGTCTCGCAATCAAATAGAATTAATAAGAACTATTACGATGAGAAAATTAAGTCATGAAGTTCGCGTTTAAAAGAAACTAAGAGAAAATAAGTTTGAATTGATTCTGTTGTTTTTTCTTCATCTTTTTAGGCAGCTCGTTTAACTACTGCCTGTTCCATGATTCAAAATATCGGACACGAAGTGCGTATTCGACCGTTTGTTTATCAATGCACGCCAGGCGAAGATCTTGACACGATACTTTTGTACACGTCGTCATTGAAGATGTGCGCCAGGCTCTTTAGAGTACCAATTACAGGCAGATATCTTTGTCTTCTACTTACTATAAGTAGCATCCTGATTATCACGCTAGGGTTGTGTCAATACCTTTGATCACAGTATTACTTTTTAAAATTAAGTTACCTACACAAAATTTTATTCTTTGTATATTTTTTACTTTATACATATAATCTAATAAGCCATTTTTTAAAATATAGAAACGCTTATATTTTAATCCGGTTTTCCCATTAGCAATTTAAATCAATTGTGATTTGTAAAAGAATAACGTTACTGTAAAACAAGTGTACGTCTAATGAAGATAAATTCAAAGTTTTGAGCATTGTTTATGTAGATAGTGTTTTTTAGCTGTAAGCAAATTCTTGCTATATGCTATGTATGATGAGTTATCCATATAGTAAAATGCATATAATCCATCATTGGTTGCTTTGTTGTTGTCATTGTTGAATTAAAACGGTTGTACACATACATGTATTGCAGGACATAATAACTGTCATAAAATTAAAGATGTTATTTCAGTTGAAACAAGTAAGATAGATATACGCTTTAACTAATGCGTGCCGATCTTGTCATAAGAGAACATGTAACAAGCGACAAGAATTCATATCCTCTATTCACTGCGAATCAGTAAGCACAAGAACATTGTTAAAATAGCTATTGTTTGTAACAGTTGTCATTGGGTATTGTCTTGTGCTCCCCGTCTAGGTCATCTTTGGACAGCTCTCACAACGTTATATGGACAGCTTTAGTGTTGAACGAGCAATACATTTGAAGCTTAAAGTACGTAGATTAATGCCGTATATTGATAATAACAATAAATGGACCCAATAGTGTTAAAATCGTATTTAATCGCGTAATACTATTTTTTTTTACAGGTGGCGCCATCCGTGGCAGAACGCTGAAACTGGTAGCCAAATCATACCGACAGGTGAGTGAAAATTTGTAATGATGGAAAAATGCGAATATCTCAGTAATTAGGCGCTTAGAATTAGCGTTAGTGGTCTCAAATTATTCCTAGCGACCAAATGCATCGACCCAATACCTAAAAACCCCACAATTATTAAAATTATTTATACCTTTATTAACATAGATCTTTATGGAGATACATAGCGGCAATCATTCATTGTTATAGATTTCGATCGGCTTTAAACGGTCAAACGCGCATAATTTTTCTTCCCCATACAATAGATTTGTAGCTTAAAGAACGTAGATTAATCTCCTGTCAGTGGCAATAACAATAAACGACCAGAACACTGTTAAAATCTCATTTGTTTGCAACGGTTGACACTGTATCTCGTCGTGCGTACCCCGGTTAGTTCACTTTGCACAGCTCTTACACCGTTATACGGACAGCTTTCGTTTAGCTGAAGCACTCAATTTGTAGCTGAAAGTACGTAGATTAATCCACTGTTATTGATAATAACAATAAACTGCCGGAACACTGTTAAAATCGCATTTAAACGCGGAGTACCACTATTTTTTTGAACGGTGGCGCCACCCGTGGCATTTCGCTCAAACTGCTAGCCAAATCATACCGACAGGTGAGTGAAAATTT